TATGTTTCTGCACATGGATTCACTAAATTTCAAGTGCCAGATGAGCAATATTAGCAAATTCTGCTTGCAAGTCACTTCCACCATCCAAGTCCTCAGGCTGGACTGCTGCTCTGCATAACAAACCCTGCCATGCTGTGGGTGTCGGGCACCTCCAGCCCATGCATTGCCCCCCCAGCTTGCATGGGCAGAGCAATGTGACCCACATTACTCTGCACTGAACAGTACAGCTTGGAGCCTGACCGTGGTCACATCTCTCTTCTGTTCACTAACATCACCTGATAAGCCAGTCTGATAAATCCCTCTCCTGAGTTAACTTTGGTCAAGTCAGTCCCAAACTCCCTTGTCTGAGATCTTTTATAGGAATAACAGTTGAGTCTTAAATGCATTATTAATTGCTATCCATATTACGACAGCATCTAAATATATGGAATAACTTAAGAGGAGCTAGTCCCTAGGAAAGGGAAGTATAAAGAGGATTAGAAAAGACAAGCAGCTGAACTCATGCAGAGAGGTTGTCATATCTCATATGCTAACAAATTTGAGCTCAATTAGCATTTGGATGAGAGACCAGTTTTGCTGAAAGTGGTGTTGCAGACTTAATAGGCAGCAATAATCCTTTAACCTGATAACCCTGATCTTTTTTTTTTTTTTTTTCAATTGTAAGAAAATACTAGGGCAGGAGCAGTGAGAATCTGTAAGGCATAGCTAGAGATAACCCCCTTAAAATAATGCTAATTTTGCATTTGCCACATCAGGACAGCATCCTCTCTACTCTGCGGCTTTTATCCTTTGATCAAGCCTGAATAACTGTGTTCCACCTCCTCTGGGGGAAGATGTTACAGTGAGTGGCAGGGGCCTGCTGTGTGTTTGAGCTGAGAGTGCAAGGCATTTACTTCTGTCCTGAAGGCAAGGGTAGAATTCTTCTCTGAGTATATTGGAGGTGGTTGAGGACTTTCAAATACAGGAGTTAACACAGTTACAAAGTACATCAGTCATGCTCAGACTGTTGCCTGTGCTATGCTTCACTCTCCCAATGAAAAACAGGAACACGTGCTAAAAATGGATCTACTGCTTCTCAGCACTTCTCTGAACAGTGGTCTTCTTGCCCAGAAAATACCCCAGCTCCAGTCACCCAATTTTTTTCTCTCCACAGGGTAAGGCAGCTGAAGAGAATGGTTTCCACTATGGCAACCTTCGTATGGTGGCTGTAGACTTGTTTACAGCTGGTTCTGAGACCACTTCCACCACTCTTCGGTGGGCATTGCTTTATATGCTTCTCCACCCAGAAATACAGAGTAAGTTAGAAACTTCCTTACAGAAGTGTAGCCTCTTCCCTTCAAGACTCATTTTTTCCACAAAGGTTTCGCAATGAGGAACAGCAGTTCATGGATTTTGCAATGAGGAACAACTTTGGTGATTGTTAGTCTAGGAGAAACATGGGAGAAACACTTCCCAAACAGCTGTTCAGAGGGGTAGCTGTGATAAAAAGACTGGAGTTCAAAGGGCAAGCTCGCTCCCCCCTTCATTTTGAGGGCTTCACCTGGGGACTTACAGTGATCCGTGTACCCTCTTCAGCATTTGGAGTACATGCTAATTGGTTTAAATTCTCTAATGCTGCTCGCCCAGGTAGCCTTCAAACTACACAGAGGAGGGGTAAAGTAGCATGTCAAGTGGAAAGGTCTTTATTAAAGATGCTATGAGCAAGGAACAGTTATACAGAGTCACCAATCAACTAAAAAATGCCTTCCCGTCGAGTTTTTGTTTCTGTCTCTAACTGCTTGTCCTGTTCTCATACAGTGCCTACAATCTCATGCAGTCAGTCTTCCTTCAGCTTATACCAGCTGCCTCTGGTTATCTGGTTATTATATCTCTAATTCTTTATCTGTTCTGCTTCCAGGTAAGGTCCAGGCAGAGATTGATAAAGTGATTGGCAGAGAGAGACCCCCCACCATGAAGGACCAGGCAAGCATGCCCTACACGAATGCTGTGATCCATGAAGTGCAACGCTACGGGGATATTGTTCCTGTTGGGCTACCTCACATGACGTACCGGGACACTGAGTTGCAAGGCTTCTTTATTCCCAAGGTGACCATGACCAGATAAGCAATATAGCAGCCTCTCCTCGTGCAGATGCCAGGCATGGGGTGGGGATGATCCCATCCCACCCTGCAGCATTGCGCTTCCAGCCCCAATTACAGTCACTGTTGAGCACTAAAATAAGACACTTTGAAATGCTAAATTCAGGCAGGTTATACCTGTATTCTAGGCTTACGCTTGTTGTATGGGAATGCAACTGCAGTGGCACCTCAGTGCAAAGGTTTCCTTTCCTCTCGATGAGCCGTGATATTCACTGCCTGTCAGAAGAAGTCTAACAGGCTCTCTGGAGGCACTCAACACCAGCTTACTGGCTTTCCTGAGATGGTGGTAGTTAAATTCTAACCTCTGAAGCTACTCAAATGCCATTGGCATTCAGACCAGTTCTGCTGTGACAAGCAGCTGCCCTGGCAGCAGTGGCAGAATTCAAGCCTGGGATATTTTTGTATAATTTTTTGTAGCTGTGTGGTATTTCCTCTGACTTAGAACCTTGATGTGCGAAACAGGAAAGCTTTGCAATTTTCCATGGTCCCTGTGAAAGCTGGGCTTTGAAGTCTGTCAGTCAGCTTTTCCTCTGCAGCTATAAAACAAGTCCAGGAGGATCTGAGAAGCAGAGGCTGTTTCCACTGTGTAACCATGAAATTGGCATTTGCATGCAACAGCCTTTGTAAGGATACAAACTGCAAAAGTTCAGCTGCTTCAGAGTGTAGGGCAGGCACCATATGCCACTGGAAAAGGGTCCTGCTTTACCTCTGCTTCAGATAAGATGCAGAAGTGGAAATGGATGGTATTAGATGAGAGACACGGACTAAAGAGGGACCAGCACTGTTCCGTTGTGCTGTTCTCACTTAAGTTGTTTCCTCTTGTGGGGGAGTGCAGGGGACGACAATCATCACCAACTTGTCTTCCGTGCTGAAGGATGAGACAGTCTGGGAGAAACCAAACGAGTTTTACCCCGAGCACTTCCTGGATGCAAAGGGGCAGTTTGTGAAACCAGAAGCCTTCCTGCCCTTCTCAGCAGGTAAATCTGAGGGGAGGATCCAGCTGCAAGTCAGAAGCACAGCAGGAGGGTGATCTGCTCCCGCTGCAGCAATTCTAGCATCGATGATTGCCCTCTTTGACAGACACTTCCTATTCCCTCTCTTGCAGGTCGCCGTGCCTGTCCTGGAGAACAGCTGGCCAGGATGGAGCTTTTTCTCTTCTTTACCACTCTCCTGCAGAAATTCACTTTCGTGCTCCCTGAGGAGCAGCCCAGGCCACGGGAGGACGCTCACTTTGCACTCACGAACTCTCCACACCCATACCTGTTGCGAGCTCTCCCAAGATAAATGCACACCATTCTCCTTTCACTCACAGACCACCACCCACCCAAACTCTGCCAGAAACACTGCAGGTCTAGGCAGGATCATGCCAGCTTCAATCTCAAGTCTGTGCAGAGGGCCACATCTGTGTAAAGTAAGGATCTAGGCAAACATCTTGTTTAGCTTAATTCTAGTTGTGGTTCTTGAATCAGGTGAGAACTTCAGCTTCTACAACAAGGTGACATTAAAATGTAGTTTCAGAGTAGTGCTTCTGAAAAATCTTACCATCCAAGACATACATGTCCCCTTCATTCCTTCCTGTTTATTACACCCTCCTGTATGCTGAACAAATATTGCATTGTCTTAATTTATAGCTTCCAAGAAAGTAAGTTTTAATCCTCACAACCCTTATAACACTATGCCCTCCAGTAGGAGTAAATACCAAGGAGTAGATAAATAATCCATATGATGTTTCAGCCACAGGAGGTCATTTGTGAAATACAGAAATTTCGATAAATACATTTAAAGATAAATCCTGCTGTTTAGATTTACAATCTCCTCTAATTAAAACTTTTTTTTTTTTTTTTTTTGGCATTACATAAAGTAAGCTCTTGGACAGCTTTGGAACTCAGAAAGGGATGGAGTTACACTGTTTGAAACTGTATGGCCATAGATTTCAGAGTTACCTTTCTTCAATATTCCTGACAAATTATTTTGCAAAATGTACAGATAAGTTGATGTTTAAATTAGTGGTAGCTCCCTTACCACACGTGAAAAGACAATAGCACAAAGGAGCTCCTAAGTATAACCACCACTAAAAAAAAAAATAATCTGAAATTGAGTGCATGTGTGCAGAAGTAATTTTGTGTAGCAGTAATTTTGGAAGCTATGAAAGTTATTGAATTATGCAAATACTTATTAACATAATTAAGATTTGAACTTCAGCAGGAACAGCACATTTATGCTTTTCATGTACAAAATAACTTGAAAGAATAAAAGTGATGTGAAATCTTCTTTCTCTTTGTGGTTGCCTCAGTCCTGCTGTGCTCCTTCCTCAGGTGAGACTCACCTGAGATTTCTCTCCTCACACCCAGCACCATACCTGCGTCTTTCAAGATCATTTCAGTGTTATTTTTCTGGTCTGTTCAATGACACTGAACTGAATGTGTTCGGATTTATAGCGGCCAGCACATACCCAAGCGTGTTTCAAAAGAACTTTAGAGAGGGTCCCGGTACTCGTGTATTTGGGTAAAAACGTGGGTATAGCTAGAGTAGCGACTGTCTTTCTAGCATGCAAGAGTGTACTGAGAGAAAGTCTAGCTGCACGACCGAACAGCAGCCGCTTACAGCGCTCTGGGGGCAAAGGGAGTTAATCGATCGCTCCAAATCACAGCCCAGCCCTGCCCTGAGGGAGGAGCGGGCTCTGAGGGGCCGAGCGGGCCCGAACGCCTCAGAAGGCGGGGCCCGGGGTGGGCCCGCACCCCCAACCCTTGCAGCAGCAGTGATTGGCGTTTCTTCCGACCAATCGGATGAGAGGCAGCCGGCCCGTAAGGCTGGAGTGGCAGCTCAGCCGGCCAATAGAGGAAGTTGCCGTGCCCTGCGCATTCCCGCGGGCGGCGGGGAAAGTGGCGGCCGCAGCAAGATGGCGGTGGCGGGCAAGGGAGTGGTGTCGGCCGCCGTGAAGCCAATCTTCAGCCGGGACCTTGGCGAGGCGAAGCGGCGCGTCAGGGAGCTGTACCGGGCCTGGTACCGCGAGGTGCCCAACACGGGTGGGTGAGGGACGCGGGGCCTGCCGCGCGGGCTCAAGGTCGGAACGGCCTTAATGACATTGGTGAAGCCGGCGGGCATCGCATGAGCGAGTGACAGTGTAGCGATTAGGGTTGAGTTACACGTTGCCGGTGGAACAAGTGCGGAGCGACGTGGATGATCGCAGTAGGTGTTGTGTTTCTCTTAGTGCACCTGTACCAGCTGGACATCACGGTGAAACAGGGGCGTAACAAGGTGCGGGAGATGTTCATGAAGAATGCCCACGTTACGGATCCACGCGTGATAGACATGCTGGTTATTAAGGTACAGTTCTGTTTTGTTGAAGCTGCAGAGAATGTGGATGACCGGTGGTGAATGTGGTGGAGGAAAGAGACAGCTTTGTACCAGCCTGTCTATGGAATGGTTGCCTCTTGCAGTTAGATTGGTATATCTATGTCGGCAAACCTGTTTATAAGGGGTCAGGTGGCTTTAGAATTCAGCAAGTGTATGTCAAGCAAAGCGGTAGTTAAAATACTAAGTTTGTTCTTTCTCGCTTGCTTGTTTGTCTTTTTTTTAACAACACTGCAATCAAAGAAAGGGGAAAGAGGTGCTGCTCACTAGTTTACTATTAAAAATTAAATTTTCTACCCTCTACAGTCCTTTATTGGATTGGAAAATGGTTTTCTTCCCTGATTCTGAAACATATATTAGTGTCAGTACTTGATAGGAAGCTGTTTTTGGGTGGCAGAACACTCTGTAACACATCTGGTGGTGTTAGAGGCTTGAAAGATCTGTTTGCTTCAAAGCAATTATCAGCACAACAGGCTTCAAAACGTGTCTGAGCAACAGTAACTGACCTCTGCAGTTCTAATGCATTAGAAAGCCTCCAGCCAAGGACTGTCATGCTCAGCTGTTTTGTTTCTTGCATCTCAAGAAGAGTTACTCTGTCTTTACATGATGAAAAAATCTGGAAACGGAATCCTAGGTAGTATGGTAGGTGACAATTCCAGGCAGTCTTATTTTGCTCTGTGCTACCATCCTATAAAACCAGTATAAAACAATAGAACTGTGAGGAAGTTGCATGGCTCAGTGGCAGTGGTACTGCAAAGCACTTGGCAGCAGCTCATTTGTTGCTGTTCACCCAAATTCAGCAGAGGTGCTCAAAAGTTAGGAATGTTGTGTAGAATTTTATGGGAGATGCTGGTCAGGAGAAAAACAAAGCAAGTTTTAAGAAGGGAACAGAGTCTCTTGCCTGTTTCACAGGGCTGGGAAGCTGTGCTGCAGAGAAATCAACTTAAGTCCCAAGGCAGGAACAGTGTATTTTTGTCAGTGTAGGTGATGCATGCAGGCTGTAGGAGTACAGAACTGTTGATGCAGATGTTACTTTTGTAGGTGTCTTTAAGTCGATTCAAATAACTTTCACAACACTGTGTGGTTAGACTTGGGCTCTAACTGCCAACTAGTCTAAAATTCTTTTGTGTGTGTGCAGGGGAAAATGGAGCTTCAAGAAACCATTCATGTCTGGAAGCAGAGGACTCACATCATGAGGTACTTCCACGAGACGGAAACCCCGCAACCTAAAGACTTTCTGTCCAAATTCTATGCGGGCCACAATCCCTGAGAAACTGACTCTGTGTCTTCCTGCCTTATATTACAAATAAAGTTCTATACAATAGAAAAAAAAATCCATACAAAGAGATTCTCTAGCATCTTAGGAGCCAAATGACAAGATGAATCCAGAGCATGTGCAAGTGATTATGATCTGTTTGAAGAGCTGTAATGTCCTAGTTCTGCCAATGTGCATTTTCAGTGGCTGGTATTTATCCCATCACGTGACTTGGGGTGTCTGCTGAATAACCACAACACAACCTGGCTGTGGATCTTTGTGCTTAGCCTGCAGCCCCATCTGTAGATGTTAGATCTGTGAGGAAAAGGGTGGGCCTTCAGAAAAGCCACTGTACTCACAAAAATATTCTTGTGCTTGAGGCACATATGTATTCATGCAGTGTCTTGCAGTTTCATGCCATGACTTTGCTGACCTTGTGTTTTTATTGGACATTAGTCTCAGTTTCTCACAGAGAATATATAAAATCCGATAGGCAAATAAATCCTTCTGCATTAAAACATCAGCAGAGCCCATTTCTCTGCCGTAAAATGAAATTACTTGGAAAAAAGGGTTTGTACTGTTTTCTAGAATAGGAAGTCGAGCAGGAGATGGTGTCCTGACATCACCTCATCCACTGAATCAGGAATTACTAGTTCCCTTTTGAAAGGGATAAGGAGAATTTATTCTTTCACCAGACAGAACAGGTTTTCAGCAAGTAACTTGGTGCTGGAGCTCTTCCAGATGTGACCAGCACGGGATATTTGTAGTACATTAAAACTCCCTTTTTTCCAGCCTAAATAAATGTCTTTTTATCCTGCAAGTACTGGGGTTTTCTTCCCCATGAGGACTGTAACACAGCATTCCTCAGGGATGTGTACACAGGTGCCTTGGGGCTCCAGGGTTGGTATGTTTTTAAGGACAGGGTTGACAAAGTCAGGAGGAGCTCTGTGCCACTGTCAAGAGGGACTGTGGGACAAAGCAGTGAAAAGGATTTTGGCAGCATATAAAACAGAAGCAGGTACAGTTTGGCTCCCAAGACCATATACACTGGAACAACCACTTCTCAGGTGGTTTGGGTCAGGAGGGGGCAACTCTGATACCAAGTGACTCAGGAACCTGACAGCTGCCTTTAGCTACAACTCTTGGGGTTACTCAGATTACAGGCTCCCTTCTTTCTCAGTAGCCATGCTGGAGAGCTATTGAACAAACATTAAAAGCTGTGCCAAAGAAGAGGGGAACAAATGTTGTTGGAACTATACACTGCTCCCACTTCAACAGCAAGACCAATAAGGAAGGAAGAAGGGGGCAGTCAAGAGACCAGATCTAGTGACCAGAATCCATGAGATAGTGGGGCAATGCTGGCTTAAGAAAAATAATTTACCAAGATCTCAAGGTTTCATTTTGAGAGAACAGCTGGTCTGATGTGACTCTTCCTGTGCCATAACAGCAGAGAAGACCTTTGAAGTCATATCATACAAGGATTTAAGTGCAATAGCAAACACTTTTATGAAAAGAGGAGTTAAACTTCATGCAGTGAAGAAAACAAATACATTAGGGCTCTTTCAGGAGGAAGGACTGAACTACCTAGGAAATATTAGATACTTGGAGCCAGAGTTCAGAGATTAAATGCTATAAAAAACAGGAGCAAGTTGATTTGCAACTGCTGATCTCAACCTTTTACCAAAGCCACTCAAAGTTTTAACTGTGATGATAAGATTAACTTCACCTCACTGAAGATGAAAGACAATGACACAGTTCCCATCTGATACAGCTGCTACATTGTTGAACCACAGTGCCATTGTTGATGTGCACTCTGTTCTTTAATAGGACTGTGTTGTGGGGCTGCTGCTTCCCCTAGGATTCCACATGTCCTGTAAATCAGTACTGAGTTACTGAAAGGACTCAAACGAGAAAATAAGCATGAGGAGAGCTTCCCTGCTGGAACAGACATACAGAGAAGGGTTAAGACAGAAATGCTAAGACATAGGCAAATAACGTATAAAAACACAGGACCAAAGTTGCACATGTCAATCTCTCGACCTTTAATTGTTTCCCATGTTGCTAATTCAAGGCATCCCAAGCAGTCTTCAATGAGGTGAGCATGTGTGTACAAGGACACAGGGCCTATCAAGCATTTCCTTCAACTCTGCTCTACAGATTTCCGGCATACAGAGATGTGCAGGACACTCACTGGCAAAAGGGGATACAAGGCCCCCTGTTCACTTTAGGAAGGACAAAACACAGGTGACAGATGTTGGAACCATTGTTTTGTCAATGGCTTTCTCCCTTCTGTTCTGTTCCAGTGCTGCAAATAGAAAAACAAGCTGTTACAGATATACTACTGAGCTGCAGTCTATCCTCCCAAAACTACACAAAATGACATTTACATGAAGGGAGTTTCCAACAGGCCAGTGAAGTCTTTGCAATCTTTTAAGTTTTTGCAATCCTTTAAGTCTTAGCTTTTAGCTGCACAGTGCATACTGGAAAACCCCTTAATAACTGGAATACACCCACCAAACTGATTATAAATCTACATTATTTACAACTTCTCTAAAATAGTTTCTCTGATCTGTAAAGAATCAAATACACCAAACACAGGAGTAGCTAAACAGAGTAACAGAAAATGGTACAAAGTGTAGCATAGTGCAGATAAAGGTGAATTATTTCCATTCTTCCTTTCTGCAATGAGTCTGAATGGTCCAACTTCTCCAGAAATCAGTGTTTTACCACCCACCAGTTTGTTCTGATGGGTTCTGGAATTCTCATAAATTGTTCACCTATATGAGAATTTCAGACAGTGTGTGATTCTGTTTTAAAAGAATCATTCCACAAGTTAGAAGAAGACTTCTAAACAAAAGACTTTAAACAGGTAAATAAGTAGAACAAAATCATGGAATCATTTAGGTTGGAAAAGACCTTCCAGTTCATTTGGTCCCAGTTGTTAACCCAGTACTTCTAAGTCCTGTGCTTAACCATGTCCTTACCTCCAGGGCGTGTGACTCCACTACTTCCCTGGGTAGCCTGCTCCAATGCTGGACAACTCTTTCCCTGAAGAAATGTTTCCTAATATCCAATCTAAACCTCCCATAGCACAACCCAAAGCTATTTCCTCTTGTCCTGTTGCTTGTTACTGGGGAAAAGAAATTGAACCCTACCTGGCTACAGCCTCCTTTTGTAGCTGTAGAGAGTGATGAGCTCTCACCTGAGCCTTCTTTTCCCCAGGCTAAATAGCCCCAGCTCCCTCAGCCACTCTTCATAACAGGTGTACTTCAGACTCCTCACCAGCTCTGTTGTCCTTCTTTGGATGTGTAATGTAGGAACACTTAAGTCTCTCTGTTGTCTGCAGTATAGACCCTCATTGACTACATTTTATTTCTGATTTAGTTGACAAGATGGAAAACACCATCAGTTTTTTCCAGTCTCTAAGGAATGCATGGTGTGGAGATTGCAGATACCAGTCTGGCCTACTCTGGTACAAAACAAAAAAGCTGATAGCCAAAGACATATCTGTGTCATGTGTTTAACTGCAAATGTGACTTTTAAGCTGTTGCTGGCTGTATTTCCTTGTCTGAGATTCTCCCTGCCCCAAGTCAAACAGGAAGCACAAATGATTAGATTGCTGATGTAGTTAATGACATACCCTTTAATCATCGTCATCGTCATCCTCTGGGACAAAGATATCATGTTCTTCAAGTAAGGCTGCAAAGTTCTTACTGATCTGAGTACCAACATACAGGAAAGGGATCACGACGCTGAAGACTCTGAGGAGGCCGAAGGGTGTCTGCAAGGAGTCGATTGTAAAAAGCGGATCTTTACATCCAGGCAAGTCGCACTTTGGCTGAACCGGCACATTCCCGGCTCCACAGGCGCGCAGAGGGTCCGGGAAGCGGCCAGAAGAACAATCTGCGTCCCTAGTGCCAACCCCCGCACCGCGCTTTATTATAGTATAATAGTATTACAAGTACTCCCGCACCAGCGAGGGGAGCCCGGGGCAGGGAACACCCGTGCCTTAGGAAGGGCGAGGCGGTCACCTGTGACAAAGGGCGGTACGTAGGCGTGTGTTGCTCTCCCCCATAGGCCGCAGCTCTGCCTCGCTCGGGGTGACGCGAGGGGCACAGGCCGGGTGAGCCCCGCCCGCTCGGGGGGCCGCTCCCGTCTCCCTCCCGCTGCCGAGCGCTTCCGCATCCCCGCCCACTGCCCCCCGCTCACTGGCCCCAGGTACTGTCACTCAGCCCACCGCCCCGCCCGCAGCAGCTGCGCCCTCCCCGATTGGCCACCGCTGCCGCCCGTTGCTGCCGCCCCCGCCCGCTCGCCCCTCACTCACCTTAACCGGCTTAGGCAAAATGGCGCCGCTGCGGGTGACGGTGGCACCCCGGGAGGGCACCAGCGGCACGGCCGTGGCCCGGCCCGGCTCACCCCAGCCCGCACGCCCCGAGCGAGCCACGGTCGCCGCCAGGAGCCGCCCGGCTGCCGCTGCCATCCCCGAGCCGCGGCCCAGTCCAGGCGTCACCCGGAATCTCGCGAGGCTTATGGGGAGGAGGCGAGATCGGCGCTGCGCATGCGCGGGGCGAGGCCGCGCCCCCCGCCCCCGCCCCCCCCCTCGGGCTCTGAGGGAATGGCCAGCCCCTGCAGACACGCCCCGGGGCTGCACGGCTCCAATGGGAGCACAAGGGCTACAAATCCAACCGGTTTATTCGGCTTCGTGGCATAAAATACAAACATAATATACAACGTAATGGGATACGTAGTACAAGTTCCGCGCGTAAAACAAACTCTAAACAATGTAATGCAATGTATAATAACAAGTTCCGCGTGTAAAACAAAGGCGCATGCAAAACCGCCTCTTAAAAAAAAAAAAAGAACACGTCCTACCTAAAATAGAAGCACTTGGAAAGGCAGTTGCTCGTAGTGTTTTCCAGGTAATTGTGCGGAGAGAGCACGAGTTTGGTGCTGCTGGTGAAAGATGTCCCTGTGCATTTCAGCGGGTTTTTTTTTTTTTTTTCAGCTTCCGAACAAAGGCAGCCGAGAGAGGTAACATTGAGGGGACTACCAGGCACTATCAGCGCGGTAGCCACTATAACACAAAATGTCTGATCTTGGCCATGATTGTCCACCACGTGGCTAAGAGTGGCCACGGGTAAAACCTTCAGGTTAGTCTTCACCTGGACTCAGTGGAAAACAAGCACAGTTTTACAAAATAAAGATATGCAGAAATTATATAGCACAGGCTCAAATCTGAAATGGCAGCCTCAGAAGAATGTAAGGATTTAATCAACTATTTTAGCAGGATTAGAAGCCCTTCTTGGCACAGCTCACAAAGGCATTGTTAGAATTGCCTTTCCTCTTTCAATTTTTTTAAAATTTTAGCACTTTTCTCTCACTGCTTGAGCCCTAAAGAAAATTCTTAGAAAATGATCTTACTTCAGTCCTTTTAGAAAAGTACCCCTTCACCTTCAGTGTTCAGCTCCCCTTTTGCCATGAAACCTGTTTAGATAGACATTCTCTATTTCTAAAAATAAGAAGGGAAAGTGGAGACAGGAGGTGAAACAGTCCAAACCTGAACGACTGGAAAAAAAAACCCTGGCTGGCAATGAGTCTTATATTGCTGCCAGGGACAATGTGCAGTGAAAACTCTCTGCCTTTCCTGTAACAATCTCTGCCTGCAGAAAGACAGACCGGCTGCTCCATTAGGCAGCTAAATGTTCAACCTCAGGAAGCTGAAATCCCGACCTCCTGCCTAGGGGCTGCTTCAAAGGCACTGACAGCACAACCAATTCAGCTGGGCTGGCTCGGCTGCCTCCACCTCCGAGGAGGCAGTGCAGCACTCAGGTGCTTCCTGCCTAATGAAGCAAGTGGTCATTAAAACACCTGTATTCCCATACAAATTTAGGCATGGCTGCAATGGTGGCCCTTTTCACTTAGAAAAAGGGCCTGCCTGGGATGGTGAGGAAACCTTGGTCAAGCACATCCAAAGACACGGAGTGCTCTGGAGACCTACCAAAGGCATGGATGGCTGGGCTGAGCATAAATGTGAATCAGGATTCAGCCATTTTCTTGTCAGCACTGCAGAATAAAACACCACATTACTCCAAACACAATCAGAAGGAAAGCAGAGCGCAGAGTGCCTCATTTGCAGGATTTGGGATTTAGCTGGGATATGTGCTAACGCCAAGGTAGGTAGCGTGCAAATTGTGCCGTTTGAATGGGACAGATTAAAGCATTATATATAAGCTCTTTAGTAGTGTTACGGGCACAATCCTGGCTTATTAAGACAAACTAAGCTTCTTAAAAATGAGACTGCCCTTAAATGAATAATACTGTCTCAGTTTCAGTTCTGACAGAACTGGCTTTGTTAATTTATTTTCCCTTTCAAGTCAGTCACAATTCCTGGGTCTCACGTAGGAGTTGCCACCACATTTTGATTTGTTTAGGAAGTTGAGTCTTTACTGTCAATCTTCCTTATGTTAATCTGAGACATCAGTAATATTCTCTCTGTATTATATTAAAAAAAAAAAAAAAAAACAACAAAAAAACCACAGGAAAATGCTTTGACCTTGACAAATTTGACCTTGGTCCCAAAATACCCATGCTCAAAGCAAGGAGGCACCAGGTAATGCAATCCCCTGATGCTGCTGCCCTGGCATGGGAAAAGGGACACATGCAGCCAGGAATGCTGCAGTACTGAACACGTCAAGCAGCAGGGTAGGGAAGCATAAATAGCCCCTAGGTCCAACCAGCTGAGCTGCTGATGAAGCCAGGGCCTTGCCCCATGGCCACCTGCTCCTGATTTTTCTGAACGGTTTTCACATAAGCGGAACAAAAATAATCCTCCCAAACTTGAAGACAGTTACTGTGCAGTAATACAACCATGAACTGGAGAGGACTGGATTGCATTACTCACAGGTGAAGGTTACACTCTCACTGACCAAAATAATTTTTAAGATCTAATTTAAGATCTGATTTCCTCTAATATACCATTGAGCCATAATTAGGCAGGAGGCTGGAAGCTCATCATCCAAAACTACCAGAGACACACATTAAAAGGCACCAAGAGTTAATAGAATTAATTTGATTTCTGCATTGGCTACCTCCACAGGCTATTGCAAAATAGGAAGCTGAGTGTGTTCAAGTCCAGAAAGGTTCCCAGCCAGCCATGACCTGAAATGTGCTTTTGCTTTACTAGCAAAGCTCTTTAATAAAACAGGACAATAAAACCAGGTTTAACTGTTTTAGGTGGGAAGCCTGCAACTAGATAAGTGAGATTTTTAAACCCCATCCCAAGGGTGTTCTAGTCCCTGGACTTGGCACCCACCTACTTGTACCGTATGCCTTGTGGCCAAGGTTTCTGACCTCCTGATGGATGATGATGTTACCATAATGAGGCGACAGGCATGCCTCCCCACAGCCCTCCCAGCCCGCTGGGAGAACAGGATGTGCTGCAGAGATCAGGCAAGCAATGCTGACATGAAATCAGAGGGAAGTGCTGGTAGGCCAGGTGCAGGCTTGGTAGAAGGCAGCAATATGGCTTTGACACTGGAGAGGCAAGCCCAGACACTGCCAACATCCACAACTCACTCCCACACTTTCACTTCTCCTGAGAAGTGAAGCCCTCTCTCCTTCCCCACTCCTTCGAAGCCTCTCCAACTGCCAGGAGCTGGGCAGAGCCACAACACTGAGAGGCCCTGCAGGAGTGTGGCTCTGGACACCCTCTTGGACAAGCAGCCCGATGAGCAGACTGAGCCCTATATGGCACTTTGCAGGGGCTGTGGTCTAAGCAAAGGCTGAGAAATTTATTCCTGCCCAGGCAAAGAGGCTTTAGCATCCCTGTTTAGGAACAGAGAAACCTTGAGCCAGCGATATTAGCAGGCTTGGTTACCGCTTGACAGAGTCCAGATCAGCCCTGGGGAGCTCCCGGTGTCCTCGCTGTGGCTTCAGGCCAAGCTCTGTCTCCATTTCAGGCTTGCTGCTGAGTATGAGCACACAAAGAGACAGTTGCAAGACCATGATATCCATATCCTGAAGGATTTAGCTGAAAGAAGGGTTAGTGAAGATAGAAGTAAAAAAACAATGCAAAAGCCCCAGCAACAGCTGCAGTGGCTCATATGTCCTGTAGTGAGAGAGGTACAAGGCTGGAGGCATGCACTGGGGCCAGTGGCCTATCAGAGGCACTTCATAAGAGCCCAGCCTTACCTGCTGCAAAAGAACAAAGGCAGAATAACTTTGGTACAAGACCACAGACAGTAATAAGCACTGGTCAAAAGCAAACTTCCACGCTGAGAAACAGAACAAAAAAAAAAGTGGTGAAGGAGAGGTAGGGGATGAAACATCCGGAGCATCCACCATGTCAGAACGGCAAGTGGCCAAGCTTGTTGGCTGAGGTTCATTGCATATGTGCTGATTTGGGCAGCTCCTATTTCCAGCAGAAAGAGTTTAAATAAAGGTGGCTCCCTTGGTGTTACACATTCTCCAGCTGTATAAAGCCTCATGGAAATTAAATGTGAGGTTTAGAGGAGATTTGGGTTCCTCCCAAGTAAAGTATACACAAACTGCACACTCAGACACTCATGAGGGCAGGGGCCAAGCAACGTCCTTCACTTCACTCTTCTGCATGCAAAACAGGCCGCTGGGCATCAGCTGGCCACTGACTTGTGTTCTACACCCCCAGTCACGGGTGTCCCCTCTTCTGCCGCTCCTGCCACTCCCGTCTCAGCACTGCGATCTCCTGCCCGTACCAGTTGTGCAGCTTGGAGAAGCAGATCGTTTCTGGTGACACTGGGCTCTCTGGCATGGCTGGTGAGAGGCCAGGTGCTGGGGATCCTGTGGCATTGCCGGTGGCCGAGCGCCGGCGTGGAGGCAGGGGCGGGGGCTTCGTTTGTCCCCCATCGTGATCACTGCAGGTGGCCCCACCGGCGATACTACCACCACTACTCCATGTGGAGTAGCCATTCTCCAGGGTGGTGGGCTTCTCCTGGAGAGGCTGCAAGGCAGGGTTGGAGAGATGCCTCTTCCTGCCAGAGGAGGATCTCTGTGGAGACTTACGGCAAGCAGCCAAGCTCTTGCAGGCCTCCTCCAGCTGTTTCTCCAGCTCCCTTACCACCAGCCGCATGTAGTCGAAGCTGGCCCGTGAGAGTGCCTTCACCCAGGCCTCCATGGCAGCCTGCCCGTCAGCCACCAGCACATAAGCCCTGGCACCAGCGTCATCAAAGCGGATGGCGAAGGCAAACTCTTCAGTGGCCTCGCACAGCTCCACAGTGCAGCCCTCCAGGACCACCAGCCCCATGGGCTCCCGGCTCTCCCGCTCCTCGAAGTAGAAGAGTAGGTTGCCCTTGAGGACGAACCAGCGGCGCTGGTAGGAGGTGCCATGGTGGTGGGCATGGTGGTGGTGCCGCTCCACCCGCTTGCGCAGAAAGCCAGCATGGTCAGCGGGTGAGTCGCAGGTGGCGTAGTGGGCCACGCTCCGCTCATTCAGCTTCATCGCCCCACCTAGGAGCAGAGGAAGAGAGGGGGAAGAGGTTGTCTTGGTGTGAGGAGCACAGGCCCCACCAGAAGAGGCCTGATCCTGCTCCCAGGAAAAAGCAGCCCCGACTCTAGCAGCCACTGATACAGGACAGTGTCTAACTCAACAGGTACCCCTACAAAGGGCAGGCTCGTTCCTCGCTGCTGCAAAGAGGAGGTCACTACCCGAGCCTCACCACCCAGACACCTGTCTTTCCTGGGAACACCCACACCGCTGTTTCACTTGGTATTCCACAGGTGACCTACTCTGCTGGTTTTTAATGGGGCACATCAAAGAAATTTGCCTCTCTGCCTGCGAGGCACTCATTTTGCTCTCTATTAGAAGGCAGGATAAGGAGAGTATTTCAGACACAAGGGCTCTGGAACTTACACTTCTCTATTCCCTGTCTCCATGCAGGACCATCCCCACCAGCCCTCCTGGCAGCAGAACTCCCAGCTCCAGCAGGTTCACCAGCAGGGGGGTGCAAGGTGCTGTACCAGCTGTGCAGGTCAGACTGCAAAGCCTCGCTGTCTTCCTTGGCCAGGCTGCTCCCTAGCTGAGGGTGTCCGAAGCTTCAGCGTGATGAGCACCATCCTTTGTTGGAGGGAAAGGATGAAGGAGTTACAAACCAGAACAGTTTGGGACTGACAGAGCTAAGAGTTGTGTCACTCCCACCCCAGAAATCCAGGGTCCTCACTGTAGGCAAGCTGCACTGGAAACTGGGATGGCAAAACTCCGGGAACATGCACTCACTTCAAAGATTGAGCCCCATGCCAGCTCTGGACAGTGTTCCTGTGGCTTTGTTTTCTGGCTCCTCGGTTTGTTTTGGGTTTATTAAAAAAAATAAATAAATGTTTTGTAGAAGCTGTCACTGTCCCATTTGTGGAGGCCCTGTGGCAGGCGACTTTGCAAGTCAAGGAGAACAGAGCCTTGAAGGTCAGAATCAGCACAACCTTTGTGGATTATTCAATTGCAAAAGGATTTCCAACCGCTAAAACTCCACACATAGCAATATGCAGAAAACAAACCACAGCCACCACTCCCAGGACAGATCTGGGTGCTAGGAGCTCCCCACTGCTGAGCAACATCCAGAATCCCTCCCGGAGCCCCTCTCTCCCATCAGGGCTTGTGAGGCACGGCTGAGGACATGGGGGCACAGACCCCAGTTGAAAAATGCCCAAGACCCCGACCAGACACAAGGAAAGGCTGTTCCCTAGAGGTGCTCTGCCCTGGGGAGCTTCCAGCCTGGCACACGCAGGCTGCGCACAGCCGTGGCGGCCCAGGCCGGCCCTGACCGAGGGGACTGTGGGGGTCCCACGTGTGCCGTGCTGGGCTCTGTGCCTTTGTGTGCGGGCGCACGCCTGTGCAATGGGGCTGAGTGTCTCTGTGCGTGTGTGTGCCCTTCCGTGTGTGTGTTCGTCGTGTACCTGCGACCCCCGCCGCCGCTCCCGCCCCGCCGCCGCCCTGCCCCGGCCCGGCCCGGGCGCCGCCTGGCCCTTGCCCAGCGCCTCCCCTGCGGGACCCCGGCACCCCGGCCCGGCTCACCTCCGGCCGCTCCTGCTCGGCGGTGCGGGGCAGCCCGGCCCTGCCGCGGCCGGGCGGGGGAAAGCTCCAGCGGCCGCCGGGGCCGTCCCGCCGCGCCGGCAGCACCGCCCCGCCGGCGGCCGGGGGGAGCGGGGGGGCCGGAGACACCGCAGCCAGACCGGAGCCGCGTCCTCCCGCACCCCTTCGCTCCGCCCGACACCTCTGCGGGGTCGCCACCTGGGGGGGAACCTAAACCCCCGCCCCCAGAGTCGCTGTTGGGGTGCAGCAGGCACGGGGGCGGAGGTGACAGGGCGCCAGCAACGGGGTGCAGCTGCAATGGGGTGCAGTACGGGCTGGGCGCAGTGCTGATGGGGACCAGCTATGGGGTGTAGCAGCAGTGGGGTGCAGCACGGACAGGGTGCGATACTGACAGGGTTGCAGCGGGGGGAGCGATGGGGTGGCGCTGCTGCGGGGTGCAACACCGGCGGGGCGCGGTGGCTGCGGGCGGGCGGGAGGCGTGGGCGGTCGGTCAGGTGATGCGGACGGCGTCATGTGAACGGGGCCGGGGCCGGGCCGGGCCGGGAGAGTCGCTCTGGGCCCCGGCGGCAGCGATGGAGACAATGGTGCTGAGCGGGCTGGCGCTGGTGCTGGCGCTGCCCTCCGTGGCCCTGCCCTCCCTGGCCCTGGAGAACGGGCTGGCGCGCACTCCCCCCATGGGCTGGATGTCCTGGGAGAGGTTCCGTTGTAACGTGGACTGCCAGGCGGATCCCCGCAACTGCATCAGGTCAGCGGATGGGGCTCGGTCGGGTCGAACTTCAGGCCCGGGATGGCTCTGGCACCGTCTGGCTCTGGCCCTTGGCCCCGGGGTGGATGGTGCGTGGGAGGCGGGAGGCTCAGACGCCCCAGAGCTGGGACGGAGAGCCCTCAGAGCTGAAAGATGTGGCCAGGCTTTTCAGGCAGTCGGGGAAATGCTTCCTCCTCGGTGAGATCACTAAACACGGACAGGGTTTAAATGAGAGCGCTGGAGACCCTCCTATGGCCCGGACCAGTCCTCCAGAGCCCCCAGTTAAGCCCCAAATCCCTCTGCCTACCTCACCTGGTGAGGCACAAGGGTCACAGGGTCTCAGCCTGCCACGTCTCCTCAATCCACAGCGAGCAGCTCTTCATGGAGATGGCAGATCGGCTGGCAGAGGATGGCTGGAGGGAGCTGGGCTACGAGTACATCAACATTGATGACTGCTGGTCTGCCAAGCAGCGGGACGCGGCCGGACAGCTGGTTCCCGACCCCAAGAGATTTCCCAGCGGAATTAAGGCTCTAGCTGACTATGTGAGTGCCTCCTGGGAGACACCGGGGATCTCTGTCCTCATGCCAGTATGGTGGGAGAGCTGGGAAGCAATAGAGGACCCTGATATCTGGGAGATACCTTGGATGCCTTCATTTGCTCCTTGCAGCTCTGCTCTCCTCACAGGTCCATGCCAGGGGCCTGAAGCTGGGCATTTATGGTGACCTGGGCGTCTTCACCTGTGGGGGCTACCCGGGCACCATGTTGGAACACGTGAAGCAGGATGCCCAGACCTTTGCTGCTTGGGGTGTGGATATGCTGAAGCTGGATGGGTGCTACTCGTCTGCAGAGGAGCAGGCAAAGGGTAAAAGTTCACCAGCCTCTAGCATTCCTCCCCCTGCTGCTTGGGTTGGGGCAGCTGGGCCCTTTGCAGCAACACTCAGCCCGCCAGTTCTTCCCCTGTGTCTCCTACTGCAACTGTTGGGAAAAGAGGCTGGAGTTTGTGTGCCCTGGAGCTGGTGTAAGGAAGGAAGCCAGGCTAGCCTGGTATTCCCCTTGCTGGGAGGGCTGGGACAAAGGCTGCTACTGGGACATGGACTGTTGGCAGCCACCCCCTTCACTGGTTGTCATCTTCTCTCCCTAAGGATACCCAGAAATGGCGAGGGCCTTGAATGCCACAGGCTGCCCCATTGTCTACTCCTGCAGCTGGCCAGCGTATCAGGGGGGTCTTCCCCCCAAGGTAAGGGTTTTCCCATCTGTTGGCAAGTTCCCGTGTTCCCTGTGTCCTGGAGGAGCTCTTGCTGGAGCACCAGGAGCAGGGTGTTACACCCCACTTATTTTTCCACCCCTGGATGGTGCTGCAGTTCCCCAGAGGGAATGTGGCCTTCCTGACAGGCATCTGGGGACTCTTGGGGGTCCCAGTATGGCTAGGTGATGGGAGTTTGTGGGAAGAAGGCTGTAGGGTGTATCCTTTCCACCCTACTCAGATGGTATGGGGTTGGTCCTGACAATCTTCTTGTGAGACAATCCTGTCTGGTTTCAGTGCTTGAAATAGGATAATCTTCCTAGTATATGTTCCTGGAGAATTGGTTGTACTCATTTCCTCTTTCACTTCTTGAGTCAGTGCTGAACTGCTCTCATTGTTGGAGCTGATAGCTTATCATATTTCTCCATGGCCTCTATGGTTGTTTTGCCAGACATTCTATTGTACTGGAGTGTGCCCAGACATAGTAGGATTTTGCCTCCTTACCCTTCCCTCCTCGCCCTTCTCCAGATTCCTCTGCCTTTCACAAACTTTCTGGACAGTGCAGCTCTCAACAATCAACAGTGCTGCCCCTGCCTCCCCCACCTTGCAGAACAGTTCTTTTTTCTCTCCTGCCTGACACTGTTCTCCTTGTTAGGTGAACTACACCCTCCTGGCAGAGATCTGCAACCTGTGGCGTAACTGGGACGACATCCAGGACTCCTGGGACAGTGTACTTTCCATCGTGGACTGGTTCTTCACAAACCAGGACGTGCTGCAGCCGGCAGCTGGCCCCGGTCACTGGAACGACCCGGACATGGTGCGTCCAGGTGATGGGTGCTTTGGCCCTGTCTGGGGATAAGGATCTACAGGGATCCCCTTCTAAGGGCAGAGTAAAGGAGAAGCTCCAGGAGAAGGAGCCCTGTTGCTGCAGAGGCAAAGCTGATGTTGCCCTTGGCTAAGCTGTGGGAAAAACCCGTGGTTGAAATGAACCCTTCACTACTTGAATTTACCTGTCAAGTTCTCCAGGTGCTCTCGTCTTTCCCTGCATAGCCTGAGGGCAAATAGTGGTGAAACAAAGAATGTTAATGAGTGCATCTGAATGTATGTTGCTAGCAGGGATGAGCTCTCCCTGTGGCTGTGATGGCAGTGGTGGAGTGGTGGACTACTTAAGGGGAAGCAAAAGTGCGTGTGAGGTTTCCCTTGTGCGTTTCCTCCCAGCAGGAAGCAGCATCACCACGGATGACAAGCAGACAAGTTTCTAACCTTTTTCTGTTTCTTCCATATTTTCATCATCTCCTCTCCAGCTCATCATTGGAAACTTTGGCCTTAGCTACGAGCAGTCACGCTCCCAAATGGCTTTGTGGACAGTAATGGCAGCTCCACTCCTCATGTCCACGGATCTCCGCACCATCTCCCCCAGTGCCAAGGAGATCCTGCAGAACCGCCTGATGATCCAGATCAACCAGGACCCCCTGGGAATCCAAGGGCGCAGGATTGTCAAGGTTAGGGGGAAAGCAGATGCATCTGGCAGAGCAGACAGAAGTAGCACAGAGCATCAAAATAAAGAGGGAGAGGGAAACAATGCAGAGGAACAGGAGCAGGAAAGCTGTGGGAGTTGTGGGCCCTGTTGGTGTGGCAGCCCCACAGGGCAAAGTCAGAAGTTACACTGCTCCTAGCAGCTCTGCCTCACCTACCTATCCCCACCTCCAGGAGAAATCCCACATCGAGGTGTTTCTGCGCCCACTGTCCCAGGCTGCCAGTGCCCTTGTGTTCTTCAGCCGGAGGACAGATATGCCCTTCCGCTACACCAGCAGCCTGGCCAAGCTCCACTTCCCTGAGGATGCTGTGTATGAGGTGAGCCCCACTGACACACTGCAGAGCAGGGCAGGCCCACGGCACATGGATCCCCCTCTTCCCAGATCTCTATGCATTTTGGTGGGGGATGAGAGGGAGTACTCTAACGCCATGCCTCTGGGATGAAGCTGCAGCTGCCCACTGGGTCACTCTGCTGTGCTCTGTCCCACTGTGCCATGTCAGTGACCATAGCTGGACCCTAAGGTGAAAGGTCTGGAATGGCTGGTAGTTCCATCTCTCTCTTTCAGGTACAAGATGTGTATGTCGGGAAGATCATCGGGGCCTTAAAGACAGCAGACAACTTCTCAGTGGTTATTAACCCCTCGGGGGTGGTGATGTGGTATCTCCGTCCCATGGCACTCCCGGTACAACCCTGGCACGTGGAAACCCAAGCCCCTGGCGAGGGTTTCCACCCAGCCTTTGTGTGACAGGGCCCAGCGGACGGGGTGTGGACCAGTGCCAGGGTGAGCTGTGAGACCCCAGAGCACATGGCTCTTCATTGCACAAGTGCCTGTTGCTGGTGAGCCCAGCAATGCTGGGCAGTGACCATCCATCCCCTGGTACCAGCTTGATGATGTCTGCTCTGTCTGTGTAAATCAGGAATTCTTGCTGCCCACTGCCTAAGGGTGTGCAGAGCATACTGCCTCAGTGATTGCAAAGCCTTTTGAGATCCTCCTGTGGAAGATGCCATACAAGTAGAATCCAGCCACGACTGAAGTTTGGCAGCTTCATTGAGCTGGGTACTACTGGCAGCTGCAGGGGCTGTTTGAACTACACCTGTAGAAAGGCTTTGGGTGCTTTAGTTGGTGCTTTAGGGTTGTGACATCCCCTTTTCCCACAGCCTCACACCCCAGGTGTGTGATGACGTTAACCTCAAGGATCAGACTTGGTCACCTTCTTTCTTTTGCTCTATCAGCTTGGTTTAGAATAAGGGGCTGTCAACAGGGCTGCATCTCTCCCACATACCTGCACCAGGACCAAGAGCTCTTGGAGGCATAATGGTCCTGTGCAGTGAGGCTTTGCCTGCTCCAGCAGGCTGAAAACTCAGGGTTTCTCAGGGAAAGGCTTCTTCTCCCAAGGGCCTTTGCATCCACAGCTCTATCCTGAGGAGGAGCCTACACTAATAAACTGGAAGTGAGTGTCAGGACACTAAAGCCTCAACTGCTTCACCTTAATACAGCAGTCTACCTACGGAGGAGTTCTAGATGACACAAGATTAAGCCTCAGACTGGATAAATACAACATTTTAGATTAGGAAAAAAAATTTCTCTATTCAGCTATGGGAGGGTTCCTGGTCATCTGTCCACTCTGGTTCCTGAAGGACCAAATGGTTGATTCTGGACCTCTCCAGAAACTTTCTCTGGGGTGCAGGGTCAAGATACTGAACACAATGCTTGCAGTTCTAATAAGGAAAGACTTGCTAACAAAAGAAGGAGCTGGCTTTGTTCCTGGGGAGTGATTGAGGCAAACTGATTGAAATAAATGGAAGTAGATCACAAACTCTGTCTCATGTATTGCTAGCTATAGCTGCTTGGTTAATGTAGGATTACAGGGTCATTACCTCAAACCAGGAACAACTATGCTAGGAAATAGAACTGGTTTCCTGTCAGAAGCTGGACTGATGCAGAGTAGGAAATGGCTTTCCAGTAGTTACATGTTCAGCAGGGCAGCAGCATTCCTTGGCACAAGGGAAACAGATCTTACAGTCTATAGCCAAGTGCCATTTTCCTTATTAAATATTTATTTTTCCATTGCTGGGAAAAAATTGCTGGCAAGGAGTTTCTTTTAAAGACTTTAATGGCCTTCCCTTTGGTGTAATGTACATAGAAGAGGTGCTATGAATGCAGATATACTGAGTAGCAGTGTGGTGACATAGCCCCTGCTACATGCAGTGATGGGACATGAACATGTGCCAGTTCTGGATACCTGGGGATAACCACAGGCACCAGCCAGCCTTCCACCCTTCCCAGGCAGCAAGGGGATAAACCCCATCTTCTTCACTCCCTCAAGTTACTTGATTCCAGGTCCAGTTTAGCCACATACCAGGGAGAGAGAGATGTACTGACCCACAGGTGACCCAAGGGAACATCAGTAGTGGTTATAGTTCATTCCAGCCTTCTATGCAGTATGCAAGAATTGAGATCAACACTCTGAACTGGCAGATAAAGGTATCAACACTCCTGTATTAAAGTGCAATTCAGAAAGTTACAAACATTCATGGTTGATTTTTTTTTCCTTAAATACAGAGTTGTTAGAATATCTCTAAGTCAGAAAAAGTGTTTATTGATAAGGAAACTTACTTCCCCCCATGTGGAACTGCTTTAGGAATTCATACTTTTAAGCTGTGCAAACCTGACTTGCAGGAGAGCCCTGACTTGCAGGAGAGCCCTGCCATGCAGGGAAGTAAGAGGGAAAACACTCCTTCCCCCTTCCTTGTGAAGGTAGGGAGGCTGTAGGAAGTAAAATCACCCTCTATGTAAAGGATCACAAGGGTCTCCACCAGACTAGAGACTCTTCAGAGCAGGTTTAACGGCAACTATATCCTAAGGAAAAGGAAAGTTGTGGCTGAGCAGCCAGAGTCTCTGCAGGAGAGCCAAGCATTAGTAACTCCCACCCAGACAGCAGTTGCCAGCTGAGAGCACTGCACCTGTAAGCAACCAACTGTGGCATTACAGTGCCCACATTGCTCAGATGTGGGCACACACAGCCTGGCTCCAGCAGCTGAAGGAAAAGATGAAGGCCAGTTTTCCCCTGTGGAGGTAGCACACAGCACAAGTTTGCTCAGAAGAGGGAGCCAGGGCTGCAGGACTTGTCTCCTGACAAGGCTAGTGCCAGGTCATCTGCCTAATGTAACATATTTTGCTCCAAGGCAGGCAGCCTCCTGTGCAGCGCTTGACTCCATTACGCTCGAGGAACGGCTGCTTGACACAGGATTATTGCACAGACATGGAGCCTGCTCGGACAGGGAAAAGACAGACTGATCCTCAGGCCTGCCAGTCTATGAACTCACTGCCCTGAGGCACACCTTTGTTTGCTTCTCTATTCAATGGCTACAAAGATAGGTTGATTGGGACCCATCCCCTTCCCTCTTGCACAGCCAAAGGCTCCAGTGTCTCCAAATGCACTTCCCAAGGTCATCACCCCTCAGCTGTTAGTCCAGGATGCCACACACTTCCAACACAAGACAGGATTTCCAAAGTCCCATCGCACACCGAACTGCCCTAGAATTCAAGGAACTTTAACACCTTTTTCTAGGGCACTGGATGATCTATGCAGGGAACCTCATAGCTCTCTACACCTTTCTTCCTGGATGGTGCTTCAGAAGTCAAAAGTTTGGCATTCCAAGTTGTTTCACTCCAACAAGATCCCAGGGCCTTCACATTTTAGTCCTAAATTAGTCATGTGATACAGTTTAATAAGAAGTCCATCTCTCTCCTCAAGCCAATGGCAGGGCAAAAGGTTAGTCCTTCAACCCCATGAGATAAAGCAAGTAAGTAGGAAAGTGCTGTTGTCCTGCCTTATATTGCCACTGACTCAATGTTTAAGGAGGGCAGGTGCTCAGCTGCCCAGCACTATATTGTAGAGAAACAGATCTAGAGATATGCTAACTTGAGGGGTACTAACAGCCAAGCTGTCTTCAGGGAGAGAGAATGTGGGAGGCTGGCTGCAATCTCGTTCTGTTAGTTGTTCTTCTTATCCTCAGGAGGTGTATAAGGAGGTGGCTGTTCCTGGAAAGAGATACGGTAGAGTCAACAACCATGCTTGTTTTATGACCAGCTCTTTCCAGGCATTCTCAGGCTTGGCTCACCAGAAATGATTGCCCTGCAGTGAGCTTCAGACAGAACCAAGTTCTATGGTTTAAGATGTCATTTCATCACACCATTCCTCTCTAATATCAGCTATGTTCCATGATACATGCAGTCTCCATAACAGTTCTAGGAAAAGTCCCCTCAAAACCAGGTAACAAATTGTCTGCTGCAAATGGACTATTTAATCTGTTTTAAATGCCATCTTCCCTTCCAGGGCTTTGTCCCTGTTGAAACTCATGGCTCTGACCCAGCAGACAGCAAACCCTGGGCTGAAGGCCAGCTTTGCTGCTCCACCAGTCTCCAGCCCTCCAGAGCCAAGGCAGTGAGGGGCACAGCCAGACTGCCATGTACCAGATGGAGGCTACACACAACCTACTGGCTGTCACAGAACAGTAAGAGACCTTCCTGCCTCCACACAGCCCAGAAAGAAAGCAAAACAGAAACCTACATGCCGTCATCCTTAAGTGACCTATTCCTTTTTAACTCTCCTCATTTTCAGGCCCAATGGATGCAGAGAGCTCTGTGCTTTCTCTGTACCCATGCAAGTCTGTTATGCCTTTAGGAGTAAGACAGGTAGTAAGTGGCTGTTACTGGGTCAATCTTAAGGCTTTCCTCCTTTCTTGACTGAAAATTTAACCAGCCTTCTTCATGGGAACCTCCCTCCCAGAAAAATGCATACTTTCTGTGCATGTTCAACATGAAGGTACACTAGACTTTGCTAAGAAAGCAAAGCACCATCTCTGCTAGTGACAGAAGGAGGAGTAGGCATATGAAGACCAGGCATGGTACTCACCATGGGCATATACACGTTGTGTGGGTTGGCAGGGTTGTAATATGCACTGGAAGCAGCTTCCATGGCCTTACTACCTCCTGGAAAGGAAGGTAAAGAAGCCACCTTAAATATCTGAGACAATAGCCCTAGCTCCAGAGCCCTCTCCCCAGCCTCACCTCTTCCAAGGAGGCAACAAAGGCAAGCTGGGCTAGAATTGAGAGCAGCTCAGGAAAGCTGGCTAGGGCTGACCACAGGCTGTGCAATGCAAGGCTTGTGGATACTAGCTTTGGAGCAGGCTGCAGGCCCCATGGCCTCTCAGTCCTGCTGGAGAGCTAGCCTGGGAAATTCATAGGAGGATTTCAAAACAATCCTCAGAGACAGAAAACAACTGCCAGGTGCTGTTTGTCTGTCCTCTTGTTTTCCTTGCAGGAGAAGGTCAGGGGGTGTTGTGCCACTGACCAATGATGGTGATGTGTTGATTTGCTAACCAATAAGAGTTTCCTTTCTGTACTTTCCATGTATCTGTCTATAAAACAGGCCTGAAGTAATAAACTAGAGAATTCTCTTGTTCTGACTCCCTTAAGAGTCTGTGTCGTTCTTTACGCCATTCCTAATTAGAACGACAAAGGCTGAGCAGCTCCCTAGAGAAGACTTGGAGCTCTTGTAACAACAGCATCTTCACTCCATGCTGTGCCCATGCCACCCTCAGCCCAAGCCCCCAGGCACTCTTTTGCACCCAGATCCTGGCAACTGCCCAATCCCGTTTACCTGGCATTCCTGGGCTCACCCAGGCTGGGGGAGCTGAGGGTCCTGCAGGAGGTGCCCCGGAGTAGGGGGGTGGAGGCGGCATGTACATGGGGTTCATGTTTGGAAGTGGTGGGTAAATACCTGAAAAAGACAACACCAGGTTGATGCTCTGGACCACAGACCATGGGACAGAGGGGAGAGAGCTCACAGGCCCAACAGCACATTAGCTGGGGACAAGAGCAGTGGTAAGGGAAGCTCTCCAGGCTTGGTAGGGATGCAGACAGCAGGGATTTGATAATTTGCTAATGCCTGTGATGTTAGCAGGCAATAATTCTCTACCAAGCAGCAGCACAATTTGCAAACCACACTTTCATGTAGCTAGAACTACTCATGTAGCGACACATGGCTGTAATCAACAGTATGTGACAGATTTCTGCAAAGACAAGGATCCTTGATGGAGACAAAACTACAGCAACCCTCACCGTAACCCTCACCATACCACTGTCACTTCTTCACAGCTAATATCAGCCACAGTCATCATTACACAACTTCCAAACCTGGGCTCTGGGCGTATGGATATCCCATGGGCTGTGGAGCAGGTCCATAGGCATTCACTGGAGGTGGTGCATACGGATAAGGTCCGTTTGGTGGTGGAGGGGCGGCGTAGCCTCCTGGCACAGGTGAGTAGCCCCCGGGGGCAGGTGTAAATCCTCCGGGAACAGGGGTGTATCCATAGCCAGGGTTCTGCAGAGGAACGCCACTGGAAGCTAAGGAACACATGTTTAGTAAGCCAGACATCTTTTCTTAAAACTAAATGTACAGAATAAAATTTAAAAAGTCCTGTTAATGCAGCACTGTTTCCCTTTATCTAGATTCACCATATAGTCCTGGCACAGTACTGTGCCTGAAGAGCATTAGTCACAGAGTGCTAAAGGAAACCAGCTGCAAAAATAAAACCTCACAGGGCTCCCACTGCTTGAAGGAAAGACTACTCTAAAGCCAGTAGCAGTACAGCGTGTTTTCCTTTTTTTTATATACTTTCTTTCTGAAAACAAGTACATTTTAAAACACACATTTCTTTAAAAAGAAAACTATCAGAAAAAAGTACTTGTTCTTCCATTTGAAAATTTTGAAAAGTATTTGTTTTTTAAAACCCTATTTTTCCCTTCTCCAAATGTGCACGTTAGCTTTCCCCATCTTACTGCACTATTTTAGAACTGAGCTGAGAGTAGGTAAGTGAAGCAATTTTTCAACATCACACATGTCAACTTTTTTCCAGGAGAAATAAGGTTCTGTAAAAAAAGATGGTCCACATCAGAAGCCCAAACACCAGAATATTCTGACTGCACAAAAGACGTAAGATGAAATAAAGAAAAAGGATTGAAAGGGACAGCAAAAGTTTCCCTGGAAAAAGAAAAAAATACTTTGTTGTGAAGAGGGCCTAGGGTACCCCTCTTCCCATGAAGTTCAGAACGAGCACAATTTGCTTACTAGCTCAGCCAACCATGGGGGAGCCACAAGATCTGAAAATCCCTTACCACTAGAAGCAGCTTTCAACATCAGCTGTCCAAACTCAATGGCTCCTCCACTGTTGAAAGTCAGTTTAAATGTTCCCTGCCCTTCCCAGCCACCTAGGAGAGAGAAGTAGAATTGAATCAGACTATTAGTCTCCTCAGTACCATCCAAGACAGCAAAATTGTTTATACTTCAATAATTTTTTTCTTCTTTATTTCAAAACTATTTTACATCCTATTACCAGGGAGAAAGAATCATGGTACCGCTATCAGACATCCCCCAAATTAACTCAAGAGGATCAGGAATTTAACATTTTACCCTCTGAAAGTTATAGTCTTGTAGAAGCAGCCTATTCTAGATACAAGGCTGTTTTGTCCTTTCCTGAAAGGTTTAATGGAACCCAGAAATGAACAGCGCAAAGATGGAACATTTATTTCATTGACAATATTAACTGAAAGCCCTCAGATGAAGTTTTATTGACATCCTCAGTGAACTGCGGATCAGGATTGATCTGCAGTTCACTAAGGATCTCAATGCAACTCAAGCCAGGATTTAAATCAAATGCAACATCTTTAATCTTATTGACACATAGAAGCTCACAAAAATTATTAAATGCTGGTGTATAACAGCAATTTCTCAGAAAAAAATCATTTCAAGTAGGCAATGTCTTGCAAGGTAGATAGGAGTGCTTTGTTTTCTGAGGGCTTTCTAGGATTTGGTGGGTTTTTTTGGTGGAAGGTGCTTTGGGTTTTGGTGTTTTTAACAAAAAATATGTGTCAATAAATATAAGATTTATCTTCCTTGTCTAACAAATTAGTATCAAGAGAGATAGTCTCTTGGGGACGAAGTAGAAATAAAGCACATAACAGTAACAGAAGAGTACATCATGGATAAAGTCATTCCTTTGAAGACTCACCTCTATAAAACCACTCTTAGTATGACTTCAGCCCAAGAAAGTGGGCTGATCCACAATCCCCAGACTACCCAGTCACTTTAAAATATTGTTACAAACAGAAAGCAAAAAGAATAAACACTTCAGATGCCATGAAAATACGCAAGAAAGGGCTGAAGAGGGAAGAAATTTGAACCAGAAGCCATGTTTCTAATCCCTATCTTTTGCAATTCCCCATGTCTGGTCATAAACACCACTGTTAAGTCTTACTGTGGCTTCACAACCAAATTGGGATTAAAGCTAAATCAATGATGGACAGCAGACTCACAGATCCATGCAAACCATACCCAAGGGGCTCCTGACTTCGCAAAAACCAAAAGTGGTTGTTAATTCTCATTCTGTGTATCAACAGCAGGCACTGGTGCCTTGGTCATTTACCCACCTTCCAGGTCAAAGACAAGAGAAAAGCACACTATGAAACTACATATGATACACACAGCAATACAGAAGTTAAAGAATTAAAAGTCACCCAGGGCAAGTCAGTCCCGGGCCTCAGGGCAGAAAGTGACATGGTAGCAGTGCCCTAAAGTGCAGGAAAGGGGAGTTACCTCAGTGTGGACACACCAGCTATACCACCACAGCTACTCTGCCTTTCCTGTGCACATAAGCTGGTCTGGCATTCAGCAAAAAAGGCCTTGTGAGGTTTGGGAAGAGCTCAATCTACAAAGCGCTGGCACGTACCTCCGGCCTCAGCCTGGATCTGTCCTTTGATGTAATTGGCAGAGAAAACAGGCTGCTCGATCGAGCATCCCTTCACCAAATAAAACGGCATCATGAAGGACTGCATAGGATCCTTGCCCTTGGACACAAAGATCATCTGCAAGACAGGAGGGAATGCTTCTGAATTACTTGAATTCAATATAGAGAGTGATGATGGAGTTCTCATTGTATCAGCATCCAAAAAGAGGGTAACTCAACCTCTAGTGTGAGTATGCACTGAGTTATTTCACAGCTTTAATACTCGGGATCCCCAATAGATTTGATGGCACATGACTCACTCACCTGAATCACGTACATTCCAAAATAATAAACCACTTAAAACACACCTGCACATTATACAAGAGTTGTACTGTTCTGCTTTTTAAGGATAAGCTATGAGAGTTTGCAAAGGAAGTATCATTGACTGACACATTATATTAAATATATTCTCTAGACAGTGATTTCCAGGACTAAGTGTGCCTTTGCAGGGGACTGGAATTGTGACATAGGTATGAACTATCCCATTTCCACCTTTCCTTTTGCTACGTAGTGCTGCCAGTGGTCCGTTCCACAACAAAAACTCCTTCTTCTATCACCAACTAGGTTACTACTTTAAAGTTTACAAGATCCCTAGAGAAAGCAGCAACCCTGCTGGCATCAGACTTACCCTGTAAGGAGTGAGATACAGCATTCCTTTCTTGGTGCCTTTGAAGATTTCAGGCTTGCCTGTCACGTCACTGAAGGAGAGCTCCACATCTTTACACTGTTTGAGGACGCTGCAGGAGGAAATCAGACAGATTGGAGAGACAAACTTGGTAACAGCTCTGACACATACCCTCATACACAGGAAAGGGAACAGCACAGCAAAACTCTGAATATTACCCCAAACCCCTGCTGTGGGCCCTGCTGTTTTGACTTCAAACAGAGAGGGATGATTTATGCAGACTGGAAGAGTTCATCCTCTCATCTGAGACAAGCCCTGTTCCTCCTTCATAAAGGGCACCTTTAATATACAGGGCGGGGGGTGTCTCCAAAGGTATCACACTGAGGAATTCTGCCCTGCACACAAAGACCCTCAGCCCACAGATGAGGGCACAGAAACGGTTCAGGTGTCAGAAACCATCCCCTTGATGCCAAGGTGTAATCTCAGAACAATTCTCCCTCCCTAGTCCATGCTCAAATCAAGTCCACTGCGCTGGAAAATAGCGCTGCTGTAACGCCACACCCACTGTGCAAACTGAGGAAGTGGCTGCACTGAAACCCTCACTGCTGGCTCTGCCTCACATGACTTAAGTAAGTTTTTGTAGTAAACAGTACCACATTAAAGAATGAAACAATGGGTCAGCAATGTCAGCAATAAAGATATTATTGTTATGGGAACATTGGCAGAGTTTCCTAATGACATAAACCCAGATGAGAATTGTGAACACTGCAGGGTCAGGGGTATAGAGGCGCATGAAAAATTAAATTTTCAGAAAAAAATGAGTCATCTTAGGAAAGCATGTCACTGAGTCTACTGTGCAGATGTAAACATACCACACAGTAAGAAAATCTGCCGAATAAACAGAAGAACCAGAATAAACAGACAAACCTTCAGTGTGTTACAGTGGCGGAAGACTCCAAGGTGTGTTATGGTTCAAGAGCTTAAAAAACAAAGTGACAAAGCGCTAAACCAACACAAGCCTGAATGGGCTGGATCTAAGATAATCCTTATGCATTCTGCTCAGCACACTGTAAAAATCAAATAAAGTCAGGAAACTCTGCAATTATTTGGGGAAGGGAGGAATCTGCAGGGCCACTATAAGGAAAAACAACCAAATGCCCTATAGTTTCAGGTTGTTTGCTCTTTAGGGAAGAACACTGTAGATGTATATGAAAAATGCAGCTACCTGAGAATGAAGACAATGAAAAGCATAGCTTTGATGAGAAAAAACTACCTAAGAAATTCTACTGGGACACTACTTCATAGCTGAGCTAGATGGAGATTCTCCGACTGGCTGGAAGGGACAGACTTATGAGAGAGAAGAGCTCTTTCCATTTCCAAAATGCAAGGGGGAAACATATATTTTTGACAGCTTTAATCTTACCAGAACACTGCCTCAATATGTCTTATAGTAGCATTTCCCACCACTTTGCCTCACTGGGAAGAATTTCCATGTATTCATATTAATGTTTACTGCTTTGCAGCTACTTACACGGGCAAATGACATGCAGCCACCACCACAGAGAGTAATTAGGCTGCTGAACCGGTCTGCACCTGCATGCCTGTCCAGGGCTGTCACGGGAGGATGTGCACCCTGTGGAGCCACACTGCCCTCACTTGTGACTGAGCAGCCCTCAAAGAATGTATGGTTTTATGGTCTCAGGCCAATGCTAAGGGTCAGAAGGGATCTTAAAGGTTACCTAGTCCCAACCTCCCTGCCTTGGCCATGGCCACCTTCCACTAGATCAGTTTGCTCAAGGCATTATCCAACCCAGCTTTCAACACTGCCAATGCTGGGACATTCACACCTCATCTGGCCAACCCATTCCAGTGCCTCACCACCCTCACAGTAAAAAATTTCCTCCTAATGTCTAGCCTGTATTTCCCTTCTTTCAGCTTGTACCCATTACTCCTTGTCCTAGCACTGCAGCTCCTGACAGAGGCCCTCTGTGCCTTCCCTCTAGGTCCCATTCAGATACTGGAAGGTTGCAATGTCTCCACACAACCTTCTCTTTTCCAGGCTGGACAAACCCAACATTCTCAGCTCATCTTCACAGAGGAAGTGCTTCATTCCTCTTGCCAACTTCATGGCCTCCTCTGGACTTGCTCCAACAGTTTCATATTCTTCTTATGGTGGGGACCTCAGAGCTGGACGCAGCACTCCAGGTGAGGTCACACCAGAGTGGAATACAGAGGCAGAATCATCTCCCTCGACCTTCTGCCCACGCTGCTTTTGATGCAGCCCACGATTCAAAGGATAGAGAAATCTCCTTTAAATCAGCAGAAGCTCAACATGTCAGAGGACCTTCCTGATTGAAGTATTAGGAGTCAGCTCCAAACTCAACACAACATGGAGCATATTCTTGGAGTGTAATTTTTCTATTCATCACCAGACCCAAACCAACTCCTTTGACCCTTTTACTGCGTCTCAGGTTTCTAGGATTTCTCTTACCAGGATTTCTCAGACCAGGATGGTCTGTCAATCCCCGCTCGGGGCGAGAGCTTCTGCTCCCATGGAGAGGTGCTTCTCCGTGCAGAGGAACTTTGAATTTAAGTTCCTTACTTAATAATTCAAGTGATCAAGACTCCTACCTGAAAAAGTCTCTGCCTCTCTGGCGTCAATAAGTACATGACCTTAAAAAAAACCCCAATTCCTTAGCTTTTACAAGCTATGGTAGCCTCAAGCTTCACCTAGGACTCCCGCTGGAGCTTTAAGGGGGCTTTAAGGACCCCCGAGCTTCCGCGGTGAAGACGGGGCAGCTCTACGGACTGCAGCCAAGCCTGCTCCCCACTACCCACCCCAGCCCGTCCCCACCCTGCCAGGGAGCCCTTTAGTAACGCAGACCCCGGGCCGAGCCGGGCCTGCGCGGCCGGCCAGGAAACGGGAGTCGCCGCAGCGGGAGACTCCCACCACTGTGCCCCGCCGTCCCGGCCCTGATGAGGGGAGAGGGGCCGAGGAGGACCCGCCCGGCTCCGCGGCCCCCCCCGGTACCTTTCGGCATTGGGGATGACGACACCGCCCTCCTGCGAGTGGTTCCTGTTCAGCGCCATCTTTGCCCCGCCGGCCCCGCCCCTGACCCGGTGGCGGCAGTGACGTCACCCCAAGCGCGGCCCCGCCCCCGACACCGCCCCGCTGGCCCCGCCCCCCGCGGCGCGCGCGAGGCGGAAGTGAGAGGGAAGCGAGGCGGAAGCGAGGCGGCGCTGGTTTAATGGCCGCTGGTGGCGGCGGAGACGCTGTGAGGGCCGGCCCCGCCCGGCCGCACAACGAACCACAGACACTGGTGCCTACACGCAGCCCTGCTCGCTCCTCTGGCTTTCTCTGCTCGGTGCAACCACGGCCGTTCGCTGCCGTGGTTGCCTCAGTGGAAGTTGTCCAGGATTTGCAGTGCTTAGCAAAGTTTCTCTGGCGAACAGTCTGTGAGCCTCCGAATGCGCTGGGTGGGCATCTCTGGTGTAAGGTTTAGACTCTTCCCCTCTGCGATAGCACTCGGGGGATATCTCGGGGGAGACAGCTGACTTGCTGTGGTCATCCTGGAACTCGGCTGGTGGCGCACGATTCAGGCTTTTCCCAGCTTGTCCTTTCACAGAGACTTCTTCCCAAAAGTATCTCCCGCTGGCATGCCACGTGGGATTTATTTTGGTATTTGCCATTTGTAGACTTCCTGGTAGGTACACGGGATGTTGGTAGGATATTGGCATGAGCAGATGGCAGTGAGGAGTACCTGAGCTTGGTTTTCTCTGCAAGCTTTTACGGATCCTTTAGAAGCAGTCTATGATCCGACAAATTACGGAGCAGGGTGTAAAAACCACGTTATTACAAACAAATAAAAATTGCTAAACCTACAGGGCAAAACATACAGCCTTGTTGTTGAAATCCACATTACAGGCAAAGGAAAGTCTCTTCTGTTGCATGGGTCGGCTCTGCTTTGCTTTCTTTAAGCAGGGCAGCATTGTGTCTCTGCCCTAACCCTTGGTTGGGCCCAAGAGTCATAAAGATTACCAATCTGTAGCCCAGGGTGAAAGTGATGGAACGTGGCTTCGTGCTTCACTGCTGTGAAGAAGCAGAGCCCTGGTGGTGTCTTTGATGAGGTTCACGTCTTTGATGTCCTTGGGCTGAGGAGGGCTGGCAGTGTGGCAGGACGGTTTCTGCAAGGGTCCATGGTATGTGACAAGTGACGAGGCTCCTGTTCCCTGCAGGAATGAGGAGGCCTGGTGCAGGGGGAAGGGCGTGCAGGGCTATATGCACATACTGCATACAGGAACACCAGGAGCCGTGAATGTGGGTGGTGAAAGGACTAGGAAGTGCTGGTACGATGTTCACAGCCTAGTGGTGCTGAGAACGACTGATTTGTGTGGACAGGTGGGAGTGAGAGTGAAGAGAACCTTTGCTTTGCAGTGACAGCACCAGAGAAAGCCACAAGATGGACATACGCTCCTGACAGTTTTGCTAAGGCTTGGAGAACCCTATTCCCAGCCCTGGCCCCATACAGCTCCATCAACCAACATCAAGTTTGATTTGAATCCTCCTCTGCTGCTCATTTGCTGTTTTCTTCTTCCTCCCTCCAGTGTCAGCCTTTCCAACCCGCATCCCAAAGCCCCCACACTTCCCTTTCTCTCAGTGCTGCCGTGCCCAGCCATGGCATTCCACATGCATGTTTTTACGTGCAGCTGGCAACTCTCCTGGAGGGGACAGCCCCTGACAGCCACATGACATGCAGAGACAAGAAGACACTGCCAGCCTCAGGACATCCCTGGTCTTCTCTCCTCCCTCCTTCTGCCCAGACAGCCCTGACACTTTTGACCTCGCTCAGGGACACCCAGAAAACAGCTGACACACCAGCTAGACACAAGCATGTAGTCTTCAGTAAAGCTGTGCCCCTTTTTGCTCACAGGTCTTCACCTTCCCTCCCCATCCCCTCCAGGGAAAGGTAGAACAACAGCTTCTCAACAGGACACAAAAGCACGTTGTTAAGGTGTGAGAGCTTGGGAGAGGTAGGAAACAGCCTGGAGGAATATTTGAGTACTTGGCGAAATGAAGGAGAGACTTAAAGGATGAAGAACAGAGAAAGTGAGACAGGGAAAGAAAGGAAGGAAGAAAGCTATGGAGAGCTAAAAGGGAAAGAGGACAAAAGCACAGAAGTGGAGGAGGACATGGGACAGTAGAGAGCAGAGGAACAGCAGTGCTGCAGTAGCAAATGCAGCCATTTCAATGAGGAGAATAAAGAAGAGGTATCTCTTGTGCCCCCACCCTGGCCCCATGCTTCTCAATCCATGGCTGTTTGCACTCCTCCAAGATCCTCAAGGTGCTATGCCGAGTGGAGCTGTCCCTGGGGAAGGTCCCAGCAGGGACCCCCTGTGGCATTGTCTTCCCTGTGCTCCCACAGCAGAGAGGCCACGTTGTGGGGAAGGGTTTGGCCAGGACCTGCTCAGTGCTGGTGGAGAGAGACCACTGCAGTGGGGGACTGCAGCAGGGACATGGGGTTACCCCATGAGTTGGGGTGACCCCAGCACAGATTGGTCTGATCTGCACAGAGTCAAATGCCTGTGACACAAGCATGGCTTTTGACCTTAGTGCCGGCCAGGGCACATGCACCCTCTGCAGCAGGAACATGTTCATTTCCTCTGGGTTCTGCTGCTTTTGGAAAATGTAACAATTTTCCCCAAGTACTTTGATGCTTCTCAAACAGATGCTACAGTCCGAGAACTAATTCTGTCTCCTCCCACCAGTCACTTGCTCTGAACCACAAAAATGTGCCAGTCTTCTCTCATCTACCCTGTTCCAAGCTGCCATTTCCCCTTGGGAAGCCACAGCAAGAAAAAGGGATAAAATTCCAGGCCACCATGCCTTCAGACCAACCAGCTGCCTTTACACCCATGCAAGATCCAAGAGAAATCTCTGCTGACATCTCTTGAAACATACATGCATCGACTCCACCATGTCTCCCAGAGTCTCTCCTTGCCATGTCTCCAAGTGATAAAAATAGGACCACAGCATGCCCCACACCTCCCCCCTCCAAAATCCATGCCCCTAGAAATCCTTCCCCCCCAATACTATTTCCCCCAGGCAAGATACACAGCTGAGACACAGAAACGAGAGAAAGGAAGCTGTCGGACAGTCCACTGTGCAAAAAACAAACCGAGAATGGGGACACTCTGGGAAGGATGGGGGAGATGCCCTTGTCCCTCTCCGGCACACAGGGAGGCACATGCACGCCCGCACGCACTCACACTTGCATCCTCTCACTCCCACGGAGGATGTGCCACATGCTTCAGAGACAGGCCCATGGTTGAGTCAAGGGTAGCAGGGGTGGGTTGTCTATCCAGAGTCACCAGGTGACTGTGGAGGGGGAGGGTCTTTCACAGGTTGCTTTCGTGGTTTTCCTCTGTCTCAACAGTCATGGGGGGCAGCCCTCCATTGTCATTCAGCCGTTTGGCCCTGTAGGTCTCATAGTGGATGTTGTGGGTCACTTCTTTTAGGTCCTGAAGGTGGGTCCTGCAGGGGACAAAGTGGGTTGGGAAAGAGGATATGACAGCCAATGTCAGCACAGTAAGTATTATTCTTCTGATGATAATTTTATTCCCCCAAATAAACAATATTTTTTTCAGTCACTCTGTTTAGCTAATTATTGTTACCCCACTTTCTGCATGGATAGCATGAGTGCCATCATACACAACTGAGAGCTGGAGCATCAGCATTTGAGAACACACAGGCAGGATGCAGGACATGGGCTGAAATTCCTGGCTGTGCTTGCCAGTGCCCTGCCCTTCTTGCACATGTGCCACCAACACAGCCACTGGCCATCCTGGTGTGTCAGATCAGACTGGGACTTATCTGAAGCAGTGGTGAGACAAGAAAGCATCAGGAAGTGTATCAGGTTCACTGTGGATTGTAAATTGCAGAACACTGCTGTGAGCATCATCCCTAACCTCCATAGACAGCCTGGGGGCTTGGATTGCTATGGGCTTTGAGATGATCATTTGGGTAGGATGTTTTTACTGGCAGACTTTAGAAAAGCTGCTGCAGAAGGTATTACAGAACAAAAAGAGGAAAGGGTGATGTCAAAGCATTGTCCCTGGCCAAATGTTTCAATAGCACTGTACCCACAAGTGGAATGAGCCACAGGGCTTTGGTGTTGAACTGTGTTTCTCTTATTTTCTTATTTTTTGTGTTGTTTTTATAGGGAAGAGAGGTGACCCTGGATGTACAGCTCTTACGCAGAATTTGTCCTGAAGCAACTTCATGAAACAGAGTAGAAATAAGACAGGACAATGAAAGCTACTGAAATATGAAGGTTTTCACTTCCAGCCCTTATGTTCCAGCACATCCTTCAACCTGGAAGAAAACACAATCTAGGATGTGGTAGTGACCTCTTTATTACTGACCTGCTGTCAGCAGCAAATAAAAGTTTTTGCAACCTTAATGGGATTTCTTTTTTAAACTCCCTTAATGGGAGTTTTTGCAACCTTGAGAGGGGTTGTACTATTGTGCTTTTCTCCAGGCATCCAGCTCACACATGAAAACTAGCACCTACCTGACATAGTGGTCATGTCACTAAGAGAGGCACTAGAGTATCTACCCCTTAACTCAATCCAACCCTACACCACAGAAGCTTTCATTGCCTGAAATTTACTTTATTTCCCTTTTAGTAGGGGCTATTTCATTCTGAATGGATCTCAGGAAGACTCCCAGCTCATCAAGAGCAAACTAGTGCATGACCATGATCTTACCTGATGACAAAATCTCGAAGTAGGGCAAATTCACAGTGATTGAGGTTTTCCACTGAAAAGAAAGCAAGCAATTGTTACATTTGATTTTTTCAATAGCCCCTTTGTGGTTATAGAGATGGGAAAGTCACTGCCGTGGGGGCAGGTTCCAAGTAGGTAGAGCTTGCATACTTCAGAAAGGACAGGCAGTTGTCTGAACACCACACTGTCGAGCATTGAGGAGTCACACTAAGAAATGCTGAGCAGTCACACATGAATTTTCATTTGAAAACCAAGGCAACCTCAGGAGCTTAGCTTCACATGCCATGGTGTTCAGAGTGGCTCCAGCTTCTGCCAGGTGGTGATAGTGGCATCATATTGACCATGGCAGCTCCCTCCTGGCACAGCTATTTGAGAATTCTCCTTTTGCTTGGTTTCAAGCAGTTTGTCACAAAAGGGATGAGAAGGTAGCCACAGGACATGCTATCTGGACCCTTGTCTATTACTGTGATGTGCAGACAGTAATTTCAGCTCCCATAAGCAAGAGGTTTTTTACCTTCAATGATTCCCCAAGGTGTTTTCCTGCCCAGGACTCTTTTGCCATTCACTTGGTACTCCTTGTCACTGCCCACTACTGCAAAGGGCATGCTTTCCTGCTGGGGAGAGACACATGGAAAGATCCATTGAACCCATTCCAGAGACCAGCACCACCATGGTTCTGCATCCACCTTTCCACCTCTCAACTCAACTAATACAATGCCTTCTCCAAGAGAAGAAATTCTCCAGAGCAAAACTTCATTGGCTGTCCTTTTCACCCCTCAGTGCTATCCCTAGAATTCTGGACTGTTGCTTTCCAGGTGTCCTTGCACCCCAACAAGCTTAGTGGGTAGCTTGCAGCAGTCCCAAGGGCTCAGGAGCTGGGGCAGAGCTTTTCTGCTCCTGTCTCCAGCATTTCTGAGGAGGAGGATGACCAGAGAAGTACCTTAGCATCACCAACAGAGGGTCAGTCCAGCCCAGGGCTGCTCATATGGATAGCTTGAGGTGAATATTTCTCACCCGATTTGTAGTTCTTCAGAACAGAAAGACAGGACTCAAATAATCCTTCCCCGTAAGCCACATGAACATTCATCTAGTTTAGTGGCTGAAATTGTACTGAGGGAAGCCAGAAATGGAGTAAGGGTGCAGCTTTCCTGGGAAGTAGGACAGTAGGTGAAGCTATTGAGGACTCAGATATCTCTAAGCACAGGGAGAAACTATCTGTTTCCAGAGCACAGAGTGCAGGAGACTCTGCAGTCCATAGGGTTGTGCAGATGTTCATAGGGTTACTCTGCATTATAGATATCCCTGGAAAGAGATGGCAATTACCACAGGAATGAAGATTAAAAAGCAGTTTATTTCTTATGTGTGAGGGCAATGATGCTGAAGTGCAGAACAAAATGTGGTGCTCTTCTCATCACCCCTTTCCCTCCCACAATAAAATGTTTCCTACCCTGATTTTGTCGTTCTCTGTTTTATCCTCCAAGTCCTCATCAAATTCTTTCTGGGGATAAAATTCGATCCCATTTACTTCTAGTTCCTTGCGCACCTAAGCAGAGAAACATTTTGGAGCACGAAGTAGCACAAACCTGAAAGTAAGGCAGTTGGCAAGGCCAGGCAAACACATCTGGGACATTCTTCCAGTGGTCAGAAGCTGGAGGGATTGTCCCAAGGAAGTGCACAGTAAAGTGAGGACACAGGGCAGCAACGATGAGTCTTTCTTTCCAACCTCAGTTACTTGTCTGGCTCTCCAGTTCCCATGACAGAACATATCACAAGACATCACAGGGGTACACACATTTCTTCCTTCTCTAACAGATGCCCTCAGAGATATAAACAGCTGCATCTTTAGGATTTATCCACCATCCCTGCACTGGACTCTCTGCACACCCTGGGGACTGCACTGCAATCCCAGGAAGAAGGATACCACTCATTTCTCCTGCCTCCAAGCCAGGGCAGGGAAGGATCCCATCCAGAAGAGGAGATACTCACTCTTTGTTTGAATTCGGTCTTCTCCTCCAAGGTCATAGTGTCAGCCTTAGCAATAACTGGGATGATGTTCACTACCTTGCTGAGATGCTTCATGAACTCCAGGTCCAAAGGCCGCAAGCTGCAGCCCAAGAAGGAACAAGATGGAAACGGTCACTTTTTACCCTCCTTGCCTTTCATCCTAATGACTGTCCAAGCATCAGGGCACCAGTGAACCCTCCCTTGTACATACCCTGTTTGCTGCCACCATGTTCTCACCTCCTTCTTCCCATCTATTCTGCCCTCTCACAAAAAGCACAGTGGCATTTCTCCTGCTTTTGTAATCTTAGACGCTTTCATGCCCCACAGCACCCAAAGTTAAGCTAAGGAGTGGCCAGCCCTGCTGGCAGGATCCCTGGATCCGTGTCTGAGGTGCAGCAGTGTAGGATACGTATCAGGCACAGAGGTACCAAGGGCTGGAGGAAGAACAAGTGACTGTGTACATACGAGTGGCCTGTAGGGGAGATGAAGTAGAGGCAGCAGTGCACACGCGTGTCTGGAATTCGTTTCTTCCTTGCAATATTCACCTCCTCTTTCAAAAACTTTTCATATTGTTCGTTGATGTATTTCTCAATAGGCTCCCAGCTGTTAAAGTGGGAGAGAGAGATCAACAGACAGGTAAAAATCTCCTCGTGCTCCTGCCTACAGTGTTCCCAGCTCTGACAGCAGCAAAGCAGTCTCAGGCATAAAAAAAATCATCAAGCATCTCACCATCAGCACGATGATTAAAGTTTCTGTAACTGGACACAGAAGTAAGCACTCACCATGTAATATGTGCATACCCTTGGTCACACACCCAGACCCACGGTTTTACTGCCCCACAGCCCCATTATCAGCCCCCCAAGTGCAATAGGATCCCAGACACTTTCAAGGGCCAAACAGATGACAGTCACTCATATATCATCTAAACTTCAGTCCTTTCTGGGACACAAGGCTTTGACCTTGTAAAACTCACCAGTTCTCATTGTTGATCTGGTCCCCAAATCCTGGTGTGTCAATCACTGTCAGCTTCATTTTGACACCACCTTCTTCAATGACTGGGGGAGAAATTGCAAACAATCATACTCCTCCCTGGGGACCTGCTGTATCATGAAACACATCTCTGTGTCCCACAAGGGAACAAAATAGCTCTGCCCTCATCCCTGCCCAGAAAGCATGACCAGACCAGGCTGTGTCATGCCTCAACAGTTATGACCCCCATTTGCATGTCTGACCCCAAATTTTGGTAATATCTACACAAAAGCCACCTTTCACCACTCTGCCACAGGAAAATGGATTTGTGCTTGGTCTGTGGCCCAAAGGTAGTACCTTCCTTAGCACAACTTCTCCCCTCTAACACATCATCCTGAGTCTGAGATGATGCTCATTACCCTGCACCACTGTAGGAGCTGTGCTGACGCTTTGTGAGGAGGTGTGCATTACCAGGATGGGACCCAACAATGCACCTTGTATAGCTTATTAAATGTAACAGCAGGTGAAAATGACTTACATCAAGGCTTAATCAACAACTGCAGACTAATGTCTTAGGCGATGAAATCTCTCTAACAATTTCTCCACCCCTCACTTTTGGCTGTGGCATCAGGGGTATTCCAGTTTAAGAAAAGCCTTGTCTGTCTCTGAGGTCATCTAAAACTGTCCTTTAGCTTTCTATGGGGAAAGAGTTGCCTAATACCAGAGAACTATTTGTGCAGACTGCTGGGATCTTGTGCAAGACTATGCTGAGGCATCAGTATTGCTTCTACCCCAGCAGCCTGGCTCTTACCATGCCCAATGGCTTTGATCTCCACTGTCTTGGGGATCTTCTCTTCTCGGTTCCAGCCTGAAGATTTGCGGCTCACCTGGGATTTGAAGAGGGTGTTTACCAATGTTGACTTTCCCAGTCCGCTCTGACCTGAGGATTGCAGAGAGGAAGCTGTGACATTTGCTACAGCCTGGTGATGACAGCAAGCCCAGAGAACAGAGCCAGGCTTGCAGGGGAAGGGGCTGGAGGTGTCTCCTTGCCGTGTGCAGACTCTGTTTTCCCTCAGAGCAACTTCTGTGTTCTCCCACATACCCTCCCCGCAGGGCTCACTCTCCCACCTGGCCTCAGGGGATGGTCCCTGACCATGGTTCCCAGTTCCTCAGCTGCCTACCTACAACCATGATGTTGAAGTCAAAACCTGTCTTCATGGTTTTCTTGCGCATCTGCTCAATTATGGTGTCAATACCGATGTAGCCCAGCAAGCTGGCGTTGATGCCCATGGGTTTCATTGGTACAACTGGCTTTTGTCGTGGCTCTGGGACCAACTCAGACATGGCTGCTTCGTTTTTGCTCTCCACTGGTCCTGTACAGGGACAAAGATTGAAAAATCATCACTGAGGTGTAACAACAAACCTCCTCGCTGACCTGTCACAGGGGCTGAGGGCAGCTTTGAGCAGCCTTTTCAAGGGCTATTTAGGATAACTGAATTAGATTTTAGTGCTAAGGCTCACCACAGAGGAACACTTACTTGAGTTTCCAGCACACTCTTCTACATAGCACTCCAGACAAGGACGTGAAGTGGGGTTCACTGAGAATGAAGCATATTGATGGCTACCTCCAAATAGCAGGAGCAGAGAGGCTGGCTGGGCTGATAATCAGGTGCCCAAAGCTCCAGGTGTGTCTCCTTATATTTGTCTCCTGGTTCTCAACAGGACCACCAGTGTTTTGCCCCTCCAACTTCACCATAAAATTTGCAGTGGAACTGACTTAAAAAAATTATGTGTGAAGTCCTGGCATTGAAACAGAGCTTGGGATGCACCATGAGGACTTGCAAGCTCGGCCCTTGCCAGGAGTGGCTGGATTACTGGCTGTGGTACACAGGCTGAGTTCCTCAGAGGAAGACAGTGGTGCAAGTGAAAGTATTGCCATAATCTCTGTGCTTGCCTCCCACCTGTAGACCAATGTTTTTTGTCATACTCAAGAAATTAATCATCATGATCAGAAAACTAATTATCTGCATCTTTCCCTCCTCATCTCTGCTTCCTCACTTCTTCCATGTAAAACAAGTGGGTAAAAAGAAAACCCTAAGGGCTTTCCAGCCTCCCTGACCCTTTTTTGGATGATGGCACACATTGCTAGGGGCAGGCCTCACCCATTTATCTCTGTCTCATTAGTGAGTAGCTCCCACCCACTGGGAGGAAGTGGAGGTTGGGAGAGGACAGGGCATGGAAGAAAAGCTGTAATTGGTGGGGAAGGGAGGCGTGAGGGATGAATCTGAAAAGGAAGATGAAGGGGATAGGAATCAAATACCTTTCATATACAAGCCAGCTGCAAACTAGAGTTTCTCCCACTCTAATTACTTGACTCCCCCATGCTTTGTCTCATTAGAGGGTTATTTTTCCAGGACAGAGACAGAATGTGTTTTTGCTTGGTAAGTACTTCATTTGTTTTGGATGCCACTTCAATTCAAGTATCTCACACTAAATTATCCCTTTCCATCATTTTGGCAGAGTTTTGTCCTCCACTTATCAGAATCCACTGGCAGCAGGAAAGGACATGAGCTGCCAAGGCAGGCGACTGCCATTTGGTGGTGACACATGCCCCTTTTCAAAAGGAAAATGACTCAGAAGTCACCAGGCTGGGGACACTGATGGCACCAATCTGGGGTCCCTGTGACAGCTTAGTCAAGCCAGACAGAGACAGACTGAGAAGAGGTCAGAGAGATTTTGTTCAAGGACAGGGATAGGCTGCAGCGGGCTCCATGGCTGAATGGGGACCCTGCCTGGTACTCCCACATCAAAGCTCCTGTGCTGACACAAGGGCTGCTCTACAAAGTGAAGATTTTACATTTTTTATAAGCTGTAATATCCCACTACCATGTGCTAAGGAAAGACCCTGTGGAAGGGCCATCCTTGACAAGGAAAGGGTGCCTCCACCCATTTCCTTTTCTCTGCTTGGGAAGTCTTTTATAATTAAACTGAGAGAAGGAGCTTTCCTTTGTGTGAGATGATGGTAACACAGCCACTCATGTACAGCACTGTGGGTAACACCTTGTGCCACCTCTGTTCCACCTTCCCCACACAGGAGAGGTCAGTGAGAGGATGGCCCCCCTCCTGCTTTTCCCCACCGGGTGAGGGCACCCTGGACTATCATCACCATCTCCTGAAGCAGCGAGCAGCACCCTGGGGGAACCAGAGCACAAGATGGACCATTGGCTTGAGTCAGACTGGCAATTTGGAACACCTCATGCTGCCGGGCAGCTGCTGGAGGAGGCAGCCTGCCGAGCCAAGTGCTTCTCAGCTGCAATCCTCTCTTACAGCCATCACAACCAGTATGTGCCTTTCCTGCTGACGAAGCATCCCCTGAGGCTCCCGTTGTCTTTTTTCAGCTTTATAAAATCTGATGGCAGCCAGGAAAGCCCATCTCTCTGTGTACAGCACAGGGGGCCAGGGCAGCCAGTTCTCCTGCACCCTACCTTTCACTCATCCTCTCTAGGCTGCCCACATCACCTGTATCATGGTTGTGTGGCTGGACTGTGTCCCTTACGCTGCTGCAGCGCTCTCCATATGCACCCCACACAGCCCTGCTGGGGTCCTACCTAGCCCTAAGAGTGGGATAAGAGAGACAGAGACAGAACGATGAGGGAATTAAGGACAGGGGGCTGTCGCCCCAGCAAGGTACTTTGCTACTGGAGTAAATGGAGGCAAATAAACCCCAAAAGTGGAAGGGAACAGGTCAAGAAGGGAAGAAAGGCCAGCTAAGCAGCTGCATGGGATGGGTGCAGGATATGGGCCATGTGGATTGTGACCCTTTCACTGCTTGGGTGGTAGATTGTCCTCAGGGAATCTGTTGCCCTTCGTTCCTTCCACCCTTGTTCTTACAATGGGAGGAGGAAGGAGGGAATTTGTTGTCAGCCTCAAGGCTCACTAAGAGGTTCATAACTCATCCCTCAATCTCACCAAGGAAAGCCTTGCCCAGAGCCAGCAGATGTTGCTAACTGCTGTGGACATCATAATACACATTCCTTTGCCAGCTTCACTGTTGGAGCCAGGAGCTTCCAGTGACTAGGGCAGATATTTCAGATTCGGATTCTTGGGCAGCTATAGAAAACCCTGAGACCAGGAGAAAAGATCTCCAGAAGTCTCCTTAAATATATTTCCTGGATTTTATATCAGAACATTCAAGGTGTCAGGATAAGCCACCTGCCTTTCTCCTCTAGGTCACTTGCCTTCCTCTCCGTGTGAGGTTCCTTCCCATACAGCCTTCCCACACAGGCAGGGAAGCCCCCATTTTGCAGAAATTTTCCTGGGGCTCATCTCTCTGCACATGACTTTTCACCTTTTGCCTCCCACAGATGAATTCAAGGATCCAGCTGAGGAATAGACTGCTGTGGGCGATCAGGGTGTGCAAAACTAGGACCAGAGCCGTAAGAGGCACCCTGAGAATGAAACATGTCTGCCTTCTCTCCTGGGAGTGGCTCTGTTTTATGTGCACTACAGGATGCTAGGAAGCATCCTGAGCACACGGAGTGCCTGGTGAAGGGGTGGCACTATGTGTCCTGGGCACATCCTGCAGCCCTTGCAGCTGTCCCCTGTAATGAATGCATGAGAGGGCACTATAGCCAGTACAGCTGATAATGAATAGAGGGGTATCCAAGGTTAACCACTCACATCTGCTGCTTGCAAGGCCCCCCTTTTCCCTGCTGCTTTGTTCTGTGTGCTAGGAGAAGCTCACTTAAGAGGGCTGTAGCTGGTGACACCCACCCTGCTGCCCAGATCCAGTAGGAGGTGGCCCTGGGCTGGGCTGTTAGGGAATATCTGGCTCACAGGAGATGATGCTCCTTGTGACTGGACCAAGGGAAGGTGCCACTTTTGAGGTAGGGACAGGCAGAACCAGAATGAGGGCGCAGAGAGGTCCCCATGGTCCCAGCTAGCTCCTGCTTCTGACACCCATTGATCCACCCCAAAACCTCTTCCTGGAAGGCCAGCATATGTGGCCAGCAGCAGCCACCAGTACTGCAGCTCACCCTTCATGCTCTGCAGTTCACAGGAGCTGTGTGGCGACAGAGGTGGCCCTGCAGGTCCCTTAGGGGCTCAGGTAGTGGGGACTAACATCTACTAAGTCCCAATAACCCAGATACAGTCACATCCCCTCCCCCTGCCTTCCCATCCTTTGTCTGGCAAGAGGGAGGGAGAGCTGCAAACAGTGCTCACCACAAACCAGCTTCCAGCAAGGAAAAGCTATTTAACCCCCACATAACACATGGATGGCCTTGCTGCAGCTCTCCTTCAGTGTAGCACAAGGCTGTCCCTCTGCAGCTGGAGGCAGTGATCCTCACGTACATCTCACTCCACCCCCTTCCACCCATGTGGTCCTAGACCCACAGATCCACTCGCTGTGGACATAGAACAGGGATGAGGGATGAGTTCAAAACCTGAAGGTAGCTGGCAGAAGTAGGCCCTCAAAGGGTGATGCCAGGTTCCTAGGCAAGAAAGCAAACAGCTGCCTCAGTAGCACAGCCTCCCTGGAGCTTATGGGCATGAGGACCTGCTCCTTGCTTCAGATCTGCAGAGGTGCTGGACTGAGCATCTCTCCACTGAAAAAATACCTCTGCCTCCTCAGTTCCCATGATGACCCCAGGGCATTTCTTTCAGCTGTGCAAGGGAATGGCTGAGCCCTGCCGGATGTACTGCCTGACCTCAGAGTACAAAACAGAACGATTCTTCTTAGTAGATCTTTTTGTCTGGCTTGAAGATCGTCCCAATCCTCTGGGCTGCCGCAGCCTTCCTGACAGCAACCTTTCTTCCCCTCAGCACTCTGCAAAGGGCTTGGGCAAGAGCCTGGCTGCAGTGAAATCTAGGGCAGCATGTGCCGAATCCTCTCTGGAGATGCAGAAGCCAGAGGTGAAGGAGCTGGGCACATCCCCAGCCCAGCCACCACAGCCCCAGCCATGCCCTTGGTGCTGCTCTCCAGCCATACAACCCTTGTCCCATGTCCTAGCTCACCCCCTGGGTGGCACAGCTATATCACAAGGCGTGAAGATGCTGAGCACCCCTGGACCAGGGTACCCACACCACCACAGCTGCCTGTGCCCCTGCCCACATGCCTGCTGGCTCCTGTGCCAGGATGCTCAGGGAGAGGCACAGGACATTCCCACTGCCTGTCACTGGCAAGGGACAAGCCAGGTGCTGAGGAGTTTGTGGGCACTCCCCAGCTGGATTATCCCTTCCCTTCAAAGCAGTGCCTGGCACTAGCTACTCCCCATCAGCACCACAACCAGCCCTGTTCCCTCTCCTTCATACAAGGCTGCTGCCACCAAAAGGAAAAAAAACAGAGGAAAGACAAAGCCAGGACCGATTTCCCCCACTGCCCTCCAGGGTTATCCCTCCCCCATGCCCAGCTGGGCAGCGTGGGGGCATGGTGGAGGATTCCTGCACAAAAAGCCCCAGCGGTGTCCCTCTGGCGTTGCCCAGCCCTGTCAAGCCCGGAGCATCCTACCTTTGAACATGAAGCTTCCTTTGTCTCCGAATCCTCTCCCAAGGGGATGGGTCTCCCCCCACTTTTCTAGCCTGACGCTGATGAAGCAGCACGGTGGGCTACAAGGCTCCACTTGCTTTTACCTTTGTCTTTCTTCCCTGTGTCCTCTTCTCCCCCCTCTCTCCTTCCCTTCCTTCTCCAGTGGATATTTCAGCAGAGCGGGGATGCTGGTGCTGCTCCTGCTGCCATCGTCATGTGACCTGAATATTAAACATCTCCGCAAAATCTCCCCCCCGCGCACCCTCCCCCGGCTCCATCCCAGGCCCCCGGCTCCATCCCAAACCCCGGCAGCCTCCCTGACTTGCGGGGGGGGGCATGGCCTCGGGGCTGGAGGGGCCGCTGCCGATGGGGCCCCCATGTCCTGGAGGGGCCCTCGTTGCACACCCACACCCCATAGGCCTTTCATTGCCCTTTTCCCTCCCAATTCCCCAGCCTTTTCAGCATCTCTGCTTGTTTAGGGAGGGGCATATTTAACCCTTCACAGCTTAGTTCCGGCGGGGCTGAAAGACGGTGCTCTTTGCCCCTAGGTATTTCTTGGGATCAAGGGATTGCAAAATCTCCTTCTGCTTTCCCAGAGGGAGGAAATTAGGAATGTTTTGGTTCATCAAAAGCGATTTGCCCTTCAGCTTTGCCTGCGGAGGTGTGAGAAACCTTTTCTCCTCCAGCACCATGATTCCTGGCTGTGAGCCCAAGGTGCAGAGGCAGAGCCAGCGCTGTCCCCTCTCTGTGCATGTGTGTACAAACGTGTGCGTGTGTGTGCCTGTGTGTGGTGAGCAGGGATGGGTCCTCCCACTTGGACCGTCTTGGGGTACACAGGTCACATCCCCATGTGCCCTGGCAGGCACCTCCATGCGTCCTGTGGATGTGCTCATGCCTGAAGAGCCGTGTGGATACCTCTGGCTGCTTGCAGCTTTGGATAGGGATGCCCTTTCCCTGCTTTGCATTTCCTTCTCCTACACTTGTGAACCCTGGCCCCAACACGCACTGTGTCCCTGTCGTGCTGGGACACCAGCATCTGGGAATGCTCTGACCCCCTCGTCAGTGGGATGACAGGAGCACCACGTGTTCCCCCACCACAAGGCAACCCCCCTGAATGGAGGCCAAGCTGTAGGATACATGGCAGACTTGGCAATGGTTTGGGGTTCCTCTTTTTACAATGTTATTTTTACGATGGACAAAAAGAAAACTGCACCCACTGCAGGTTACAGGAACATTTGAAGTATCTGTCAGCAGTTACCCCGGGCTAGGCTGGTTTCCGACAGACAGACAGACAGGCAGGCATTCCAGCACCCAGACAATCTCCTGACATGGTGACCACAGTTGCCTGTCTCCCTGCTGGGTGCCAGGCTCACAAACACGGGGGCTGTCCTCCCACCAGCTGTTGCCCACCCACGATTCTGGTGTCGGTCAAGAGGAAATCACTCCAAAAGGAGCAAGTCCCCGTCCTCCCTCTCATCACCCTACCTCTCCTGAAGGGTCCTGCCCATGCTGGGCTCCATGTCATCACCAGGGGACCCTTAGGTGCCTCCCTCTCCCTGCCCAGCCCATCCCGCCAGCGGAGACCCACCGGAGCGTGGTGGGGCGCAGGACACCCCCATCTTCGGCACCGGGGTGGCCTCGGCCCCGTCAGAGCTGCCGTGTCGCTGGGGCCCCTCGGCCGCCACGGGCCGGGGCCGAGGAGGGATTGGGGTGACAGGGGCCGGGCCCCGCAGCCGCTCCCAGGGGAGCCCCCCGCCAGCCCGGCGCAGGGTGACCGAGAGGCTGCTCCGCTTCGTGGAGGCGGCGACACCGAGGGTGCTGTCCCGCCGCCGTGAGGGGCCCGGGATGCGGCTGGGGCTCCCTGGGGCCGACAGGCAGCTGCGATGAAGGGCCATGTCCTCCTCCATGGCGGCCGGCAGCGGAGGTGCTGGGGGTGCCAGGCCGGGCTGGGGGGCCCAGGCTGTCCCTGCTGTCAGGGCTGTGGTGTCTCGGGGTGCAGAGCTCCCTGGGGCTGCTGTCATTGACGTGCTTGAGCCCCCACCTCCAGCCCTGTCCGGCCAGCCCGCCTCCAGCTGGGACAATGGGGCTCTTGTGGCCCGCATGGCTCGCTCCCACGCTGGGTGCCATGGCCACTCCTGCCCCTGCCCAGCACCTTCCTGCCCCCTGCCACCTGCAGCCCCACAGCATGGGCAGCGCCACAGCATGACTGACCCCCTGCCCTGCTCCCACGGCAGGAGGTGGAGGGGTGATGCAGACCTGCCAGGTCGGGCCTGTGCTGCCTGCTTCCAAGGACACTGGGTGTGATTAAAAAAAAAAAA